GCCTTTGGAACAGGTAAAAGCCTAAGTCAAACCCCACTGTATCTACCAATTTAAATGTACATGTAGTCACACATATATACGGAAGATTCATCGGTTATTGAAAATAAGGGCCACAGAACATATTCCAAAGTAGCTTCAGAAAAAAAATTCACCTGACCTAACTTATGCTAGAAACAAACGTCCGAATTCTTCAATAGCTAAATATATCATTGAAACGGGGTATAAAATAGATGTACAAACGTCATTTACACCTGCTGGGGATGGATTTTAAAGTTTGTTAAGGCATTAGCCATTAGGAGGTTTAAACCACATTTGTGATGGCAAAAACAATTTGTCATCACATTTAACCTTCCTTGGTAAATTTGGCTTTGAATCCAAGGTTTTTGTACTGTTGAAATTTTTCTTTTTGTTATTGTTGCTTTATTGATTGATCTTCATTGTTATGTTGACCTCCAATGTAGACTTCTCACTTGACCAATAATTATTTTCTTACCCCTTAACTCAGTGGCTTTTTTTATATCAGTGGCAAGTACGTGCGTAAGTACACTGTCAAAATGTTTTGTGCAAATATATTACACAATTCACACAAATTAGGGGGAGACTTTAAACGCCACCAGCTGGAAAGGCAGGTTTTCTTAAAATAAAAAAGTCTAATTGGTTACTTCAGTAACAAGATATTCAGCGAAGAGGATTCTTTTCAAAGAATTTATTCTCAAGCCATACATTGTTACATATATGACATTTAAAGACTGTAATCTGTGAGGAAGATTTAGCTTAAATAATGAGGGATTGAAACAATAATAATGGTGTAATCGTTTTTATGTTGATTGTACCCAATTGATAGGTCTCTATTGGCAGATGGGCTCCTTTGCAGATGCCTCGATATTACCTGTGTTCTAATTATATTAATGATGGATTGTGGCTAGCAGTGGAATCCCGGATGCGGATTTCGTCCTGCTTGGGACTCGTCAGCTGGATGTACCTACCTCACATTGAGTGATATTGTCCCAACCGGGATTCGGGAGCGACTGCTTCAAACGCCGGTGGTGTAGTGAATAACGCTACGTTGTTTAAAGCGATGAGCATCCTGGCTTCTACTGCTAGCCACTATCCATCATTAACATAATAATGCTGTTTATAATTATAATGTTGCTAGTTGATGACGTAAAGGCGAATGACAACAAAAATGGTTGCGTAGGATTTTAAATCATTTGTAAGGTGCATATGGATTAAAAAGGCCGTGAAAATATGAGAGCTAATAAGCACTCGAAGGATTATGTAATATGAGTGAGTTAAGTTAGTTGGAATAAATTGAAAATGTTTTGTTAAAAGTTGCAATTATTAGGAAGATCAAATGAAATAATACCGGAAACTATTAAATGTAAAAATAAAGTGATGATGACGACATAAGAGTAGAAGGATTCATCTGACAATAAAGGGGGTGAAAAATGAAAAGGGAACGAAGCATACCAAGACTAAAATAAATTAAGGCCAAGGTAGTTACAAAGACTGTATATACTTCTTTTGCATATAAACATCAGGCTTTATTCAGTTCACGGATAGCCAAGGCCTCTGGTGTTTTTAGAAGTTGAAGACTGTGGAAAAGTGCGGTTTTGAGCGAACTTGATAGACAAGCTTAGAATAATTATGTTGGGTTGGTTGAATGGTTGGAATCAATTAAATGTTCAACGATAGAACTTCTGATGCATTTCCTTTAATCCTTATAAAATCAGGTTGGAATATGCTCTCGTATACATGTTGACAGCAATCTCTGACAATGAGTGACATACCTTGCCCCACAGGAGTGCTTGAACTGATACGTACACATGGATGTGGCCTGTCGAAGGATACTGTCTTTTATACAGACAGAGAGCAATTTACTACTGGTAAAGATCAAGTAAAGTTTGGCTGAGAAAAAGGTCCTACTGATTGATTTGGAAAGACGATTATTCAGGATGTGAGGTGATGCATCACCTTTGAAGTCCAGATTCATGAACAAAGCCTTTTTAGAAACTGAGCTGATGACTGGTTCGCATGTTGAAATCTTACGTAACCCTTTTCCTTATCATTCGACCTTTACGTCATCAACTAGCAACATTATTACTGTAACCACTATTATTATTAGTTCAATCTCCCATTATTTAAATTAAATCTTCCTCACGAATTGCAGTCTTCAAATATCATATATATATATAAGAATGTACAGCTTGAGAATAAATTCGTTGAAAAGAGTCCTCTTCGCTGAATATCTTGTTTTTGATGTCAAAATGGGAATTGTAAACGTAATTGGTCACTTCGGTTGTTACTAGGGTGGCCTTTAAAGTCATTTGTATCAAGCATGTGGTTTGGAATAAAGCGATTATTTTTATTATTATCATTATTAAAAAGAAAATCTCGGAAAGAAGACGTAATTTGGAGTGACTTTAAAAGCTACCCTATCAACAACTGAAGTAACCGATTAGACTGTTTTATTTTATGAAACCTGCCTTTCCAGCTGACATGAAGAAACCCGATTGGTTATTTCGATTGTTGCTAGGATAGTCTTTAAAGTCAACCACGTGATACAGTATGGAATTCTCAGCTTGTAATATTTCGAAAAATTCAACAAATATTTTTCCAAAACAATTAGCTCCCTTTATAAACTTTGACAAAATAATAAGAAGAAATAAACTGTATGAACCGTGGGATGCATTTGCGCAACTCATAGATCCATGCAACTAAGGGCCTCGAAACATATTCCAAAGTGCCTTCAGAAGCGAATTGAACCACCTGAACCCATTAACATAGATAGCAGATGTCCAAGTTCTTCGTTGGCGAAACATGTTGAAGAGGATTGACGTGGTTACTTCATTCACACCTATTTACAAAACGTGTTGTGAAGGGATACTTAAATTTGTTGAAGCCTTAGCTATTAGAAAGTTGGAACCACCTTTGTGGGTTCATAAACAATATTTGTTATCACATTAGATCTTCCTTGGGAAAATTCAACTATTGAAAATCAAGTTCCATGTACTGTTGCTTCCTCTCTATTGATTTTCATTGTTGTTCGGCCTTTAATTGAGCCCTCCTACCTGACCTCTTTTTGTTTCCTCACACCTTATCTTCATGAATTTTTATATAAATATCTATGGGAAGTACGTGTGTGATCAGATAGTTTTAAATGTATTGTGCAAATACATTACTCTGTTGAGACAATTTACGTCTTCTTATTGTTTTGTCGAAATATCTTTCTAAATGACTATTACATCCGAAGATTGTTAGTAATAACAGTACTGAAGGCATCAATATGAAAAGGGGGCTGGTGTTACATCAGTGTATGATCTGGACTCGGTAATGAACGAAAAATTGGGTATAATTGTGGTGGTGATACTTCAGTTAGCCAGAGTAGAAACCTGCAGTTCCATACAGATTTCCTAGGAATAATGATATGCTGTATTTTTGGACACTTATAATTTCATTTTCATCCAACGTAATGTTTTCTCGTTCTTTTGTTATTAGCTTGAGAAATAATAGTTTGAAGACATTTCAAAATTGCGCAAAAAGACTTGATACATTTACAAAACATATTAAAAGATTAAAACAAACTAAAAGGGAAGAATTGGATAAAATATATTCGGTGAAAAACGTTTTTTTGGTAGCCCAGTGTTTAATCACCAGTATAAAAAATTTAATTTTTTATTGTCGCCTTTATTGTTATCTTCTAATTCATATACCCGAATTCAATGGACCATATTGACATCAAATGACTACGCTGAATGATTTGTAAATGAATTTTTATCAAGAACACTGTTCGAAAGGAGGTGATTACTATTACTATGTAAAGTTATCTGGATCCTATTGGCCAGATGTCCAATAGGATCGCAGTGAATCATCACAGTGCCAAATGTTCTTCGATAAGTAGGCGTGACTTTTTGAAATGCTGAAAAGCACTTGTAAGTCAGGATGACTATGAAAATGGTTTGGTGGTAATCTGAGCTCAAAATATTCCGTAACAGAGATTTAATCACCAAGCCTGATGGTGAGAACATAGACTTGATTATCAATATACAGCGTACGTTCAAAACTAGTGACTAATTAAACCAGCCTGTCTGGTGAAATAAACACTACACATCCAATATGTAATGACATAATTCGCAGGTAACACCTTCCACAGGAGTATTGGGTGATGTGTATTCAGATTTATTAGGCAGAATCAATTCCATCGATTTTGGAGATAAAACTGACGGGAGACGATCAACATAGATGAAACCTGGGTCAAACATGCCTTTCGGCTAAAGACTTCCACTCAACTAACTGTCATCAAATTCGATCCCCCTAGCTTTATGACTGCGCTGGAAACTTGATGAGCAAAAATATGATCACTATTTGTGGCTAGGCAACATAGCACTGGTTACTCACTAAAAAAAGCAACCAGTATGTTTTCTCAACATAAAAGCATTCCAATCAGTAGTCAATCATCAAAGCTGCTGACTGCATCGAAATTTCTTGCCTGAAGGATTCTGTTTGCAAATTTTAGTATGCTCTAAAAAAAATAATAAACATGGCTCTGGAAACTGTCAAAGTTAGGTACTCCTACCAAAACTCCGAGTAAGGCAAACTAGTTATTTGCTTTCTATTGGTGTTCCGATAAATGTGAATCCAAGTTGGGCAGTTTATAAAAACAACAATTCTCTTTCACCTCCTAACTGGCATCAATCCTAGCGTCGTCAGGAAAGTTCTTTAAAAGTATGTCAGTGCGAAATCCATTCCAATGCACATATCATTGTCATCGGGACACATTCGTGCGTTGTTTCTCTCACACCCACAATGTCTCTGCAACCCATTAAGAGTTAATTTTCGCTTTTGACTTTCATTGATTCGAAGGTTATAAAACAGTTTCTGTAAATAATTAACGAATAACTTTAATAAAACAACTTGATCAACTCTTCAGTTTGTCTTAACTTGTTTTCGTTATTAAAAATCTGCCTTAAATAAAAATTATGATTATATTTTATTCTTAGAATGAAGTTAATCCATTAACAGAATCAGAAGATAGCGATATTGACCAAAAACTGGAGAAAATTGTTGTGAAATCAGACAGGGACTCAGAAGGTATGTGCAATTCATGGATTTTACTGTTGTCTGCGTGATGTCATTCCATGGTGAATTATTTATTATTACTATTATTTGTCTTCAGCGTTCCTAGTGGAACAAAGGGCTTCAATAACACGTCAACATTTCACTCTCTTCTCTTCAGTCTTCTCAGTATGACTCCACAACTGCTCACAAGCTTTCATCTCTTCCTCACACCATCTCCCCCATGACACCCACAGTTGAGAAGCCAAAATCGTCATTTCCCATTCCAGTTCCAAACGACCACCTAAACTCACCTGGTATGTGATGTCCCTAATCGGTCTTCTCAATGCATGTCCAATCCAATACATCCCCACTACCATATGCATATTCGTTGACCGATGGGTTGTTGGTTGGTTCGTTGATAGCTAGCTAGCCAGCCAGCCAGTGTTCCTCCTTACTTATTCTTATTATTATACTGGCCATCTCATCGATATTCAGTATCGGGTGAGCGTAGGTGGCAGCTGTTGATGTGATTGATGTATGTCTTCAGTTGTTTGTTGGAAATGCTTTTCGTGACTCACCAAGTCTCTCAACCATCACATAGAAGCACTGACTGACTGACTGACTGACTGATTCGACTGAATTAGTGTTGAAAATCCGGATGTTGTTCACGCTTCATACTGAGTGCAATGCAGTGCAGTGGAGTGCAATGCAGTGCAATGCAATGCAGTCGAGTGCAGTCGAGTGCAGTAGGTCTCTACACTGATTGTTTCAGATTAGTGAAGACCTGTCTTGCTGTCTTTCCGATCATGGTTTCGACAGACATCCTCATGTGTGTGTGTGTGTGTGTGTGTCGTGATCTGCAGTTGAAACGATGCTACCTAGATTTGTGGTAGGTAAGTGAAACAGACAACTTGGTTTAGGTTTCTCCCGTTCATGGTGATTGGTGCTTCTTGTTGTTGTTGTTGTTGGTTGAGTATCTTCATCACCTGTGTCTTCTCTACATTCACTTGAAGTCCCATCTTCACAGTCTTGCCTCTTCTGTCAACTTGTTGGTTTTTGTCTATAGATCTTTGAGTTAGTGTGAGAAGACATTAGACAACAGTCATGATGAGTGATAACCAAATCTTCTTCTAGGTTGTCTTCATCGGTCCAGCCAGCATATGGCCCTCTTCTCGCTCCTCGCAATTGTCTGTTGTATGATCCAGTCCAATCCAATCCAATCCAGTCCAGTCTAGTTCAGTCCAGTCCAGTCCAGTCCTACTCCATTCGACCGCAGTCACGAAGATCATCGGGGATAGTTGGTAGCAACCTTGTCTTACTCCTGTCTACTGTCTTCACTTCAAAACCGTCACTGAGCTTTCCACTATGAATCACTTAGCATGTGACGTCATTATATGGCATATAGCTGCTACTGAATAAGGTTGATAAAGGCTTGTGGCACTAAAACCACGGTGTTGAAGCAGCTGACTGTCAAATTACTTCTCAGTCGATGCTATCGAGTGCCCATTCAAAGTCGATGAAGTTGAGGTAGAGTTGAGTTGACTGCCACTTTATGCTCTGTTCTATGATGATAAGAAGCGTTGCATTGTAATTTGATCCACACATGATTTGTTCTTTCTGAAGTCAGCCAGCCAACCTGTTCTTGTCGCAATTTTGAATCCAGAGCATTTTCAGTCTCTCCAGGATGATGCAGCTTAAAGTTTTGCTTGCGGTTGGTGGGGACAAAGGCATGATTCCACACCAGTTCTTGCAAAGACTTCGGTCTCCCTTCTTTGGAAACTGGACAAGGTAGCACTTCTTCCAGTTGGCAGCTACTTTCCTTCCTTCATTACTTCCATCCAAACCTTCTGCAACAGTGATGTGAGCATGTTTGATGTTATCCCTGTATCTGTTCTCAGTACTTCTGGAGGAATTCCATATGGTCCTGCTACTTTCCCAGATTTCAGAAACTTTATGGCTTTCAGGACTTCAATTCTGATTTTGTCGGAGGGTTTGTGTTCACTGGTATTTCTGTGGCTGAGCTGCAGGTGGTATTTCTCGACGAGTTGCAGGCGTTGTGTGTGGTGGTGATGGTGATGGTACTGGTACTGGTGGTCGACTCAAGAGTTTCCTGAAGTGGTCAACATCTCCTTTCCTTTGTTCCTCATCTTTCGTGACAACTAACAACCCTTCACTATCTTTCATTGCTTTCATCTCACTTCATCTCTCCCCCTCCAGATAGTGGGTAACATAGTTATTTGATATAGTGTTGTCAGATCTCTCTCTGTCTCTCTGTCTCTCCTACCTGCAGCTTGTTCTGCTTCACTTGCAGGTGTGTCGCAGAAGTGTCTTTTTATCTTTCCGTCCACTTCTCTTCACTTCGTTGTCCAGTGTTGTGTTTTATACGTTGCACACAGTTCCTCTTTTTGTTCTTCATCCCTACACTGCACTACACTGCAGTGCAATGCACTGGTTCATCTCTTGCTTCACCATCTTCCCCTCCCTCCTCTATCCGTCTCCATGTTCACATCGAGATCCATTCCTCGTCTTGCCTCTTCTTCTTCCTTCCTAATACGGTTATGCAGGTTTCTTTCAACATCACTTTCAAAGAGTTCCAGTGTTATTCCACTCAGGTTTCCTCCATCGGGATGTTACTCAATGTCTCCCATTGTGTCCCAATGACTGACTGACTGACTGACTGACTGGCTGACTGACTGACTAACTGACTAACTGACGTGAAGATGTCCCTTGCAGTTTCTTCCTTCAGTTTCTGAGTGTTCAACTCCAACTGTGGTCGATCATCACCAGCTTCTTCTGTGAAGGCTTTCAACTTGATTTTGAAGGTAGGTTCCTTGCAGTAGATAGTGATCTGAGTGGTGTGAACCTATATCTCCTCCTCTTCTCAATCCGGTCTTGTGTCTAGTAGGCTGCCTCTCCACTTTCTTCACATTGAGATGAAGTCGATCTGGTTCTTAGAGTAGTGTGTCCTGATATCCGGTGAAGTTCATATCACTTCGTGAATATCCCTGTGTTTATATGCACTGCCTCACTCCAATCACCATATCGTTGAATATGCAGAAGTCTGCTAACAGTTCTCCATTCTCACTCCTCATTTCACAGAGTGCTTCTCCACCCATGCACAGTTCTCTTCCTGTCTTATCCACTCCCAGTTTCACTGGCATTCATGTCACCCCACTACATTCAATAGAATGCATTTTGATGTCGTCATCGCCAACAGTGTTGGGCTCTTGTCCATTACTGATTGTAGTTGTCTGTAGAATCCCGCCTTCTTCTCTTCATCTGCATTATTTGTAGGTGTGTAGCGTAGCGTGGTGCAGCGTAGTGCAGCGCAGCGCAGCATGGCATTGTATGATTGTGACCTTGATTCCTTCGTTTTGAGTTGAGTCATCTTGCTGTGATGATGGCGATCGTGAAGGAGGAGATTGGTTCCCACCGAATGAGAGAGACAGGCAGAAAGAGAGAGCCTTCGGTGCCCTTCAAGGGGACATCATGATAGCCGCTACATAACTCAGTGTGCTATCCTCGTGGTTGTCGTATCGTCTGGGTGACATTATCAGAGTAAATTATTGACTCTCCAGTTGACAGTTTGGACTGTCCACTTACATTCCATCTGCAGATTCCTCTCAGATTCCTAGCACTTCTATGCCATACCTTATCATCTCTTTTGCAATCTGGGCAGCCTTGCCAGTCAGCTAGCTTCAAACATAGTGCGGACATTCCATGTCCCCATGTTTACTTCCTCTTTCATTGAGAGAAGAGAAGACACATCGACCAATTGGCCAATTGGCTTCTCGAAGGCTTTCACCAACTGGCATCATTTCGTCTCTCCGATTCCAGGGAGGAATAAGTTTGTTTTTTGTATTTTCTATGTGTTTTGAAGTTTGTTTAGTGATTGAATTGGTTTTCCGGTGTAGGGTTGCCAGTCCTGTGCGCAACCTTCCTTCTTTATCCGGTCTTAGGACCGACTAGTAACTAGTGAACTAGTAAACTAGGCGAGGTTAGTCCGTGATGGATACTGCCTAAAAATTAACATCCCCATTCATCTCAAAAATACACTACTGTATACTGCTGATTAGTGACATGCTTCTAGATGGATATCCCGAAGTTTCTAATGAGAAACCGTTACCTGAGGGGTCTACCATTTGGAAGCGAAGCTGATGCCAACTGAAGACCTTGGGTGATAGTCATGCTATATCGTGAATTGACAGAAGTTGGAAACAGTGAAGCAGTGGACTGTAACCCAGTGGCTGAGTGGTTAACGCTTTTTCGTGAAACATGGATGTCCTGAGTTCGATCTCTAGCTAGATCGTGGGTGTGTACTGCTCAGGTGTCCCATACTAGGACGAAGCAGCTGACCAGTGCTCCCAGGTTTTCAGCGGTTCCTCAACTAATGTCAGTCCGTGATGAATACTACCTCGAGATTAAAATCCCTATTCATTTCACACTACACTACTGCATAGTGATTATTAGTGACATGCTTCAGGAGGGATACCACTAAGTTCTAGTGAGAAGCCATGACCTGTAAGGTGAATCAGTCAGTCAGTTGGAAGGGAAGCGGACGCCATCTGAAGATCTTGGGCAGTAGAAAGAAAGTGATAATTACATAATGAGCAGTACATTGGTGATAGGACCGCATAGTTTTGTTTCGCTTAATAAACGGCAGGAAGTTTACTTTGAGTCACTGGATCGGAAAAGTGGTGAGTTATTGTGTTCTCAAGTGGACGAGAATTTGAGTGAAATGACTAGTTGAAATTATACTTTGTATCTCGACCTATTAGGTATGTGAAAAGCTGAGTCGTATTAAGGTCAAAACTTTAAAAGTGTAGTGATGACAGTAATGGATAGTAGCTTGCAGTAGAATCTGGGACGCGGGTTTCGTCCACTTTCAGACTCCTCAGTCGGATGTACCTGCCTACCACTAGGCGTTGCTGTTCCTCCTGGAACTCAGACCCAGGACTGATTACTTCAAACACCAAAGGGCTATCAATTGGGCCAGTAGGTCACATCAGACGCTTCCTGTACAACGATTATAGTTTTTGTGCGATTGCTTGTAGTATTCTATCATTAAGTGGACTGAATCGATCGGTCTCTATTGGTATACGGGCTCCTGTAGGGACGCCTAGATGTTTCTCATCGTTTCAGTTTTGTAGTAATGACAGACAGTGGCTAGCAGCGGGATTTAGGATGTATGTTTCATCCTATTACTAACATAAAATTGAAACGTAAGGCACTATCGAAGCATCCGCGCAGCAGTCCATATGTCAATAGAGGCCAATTAATTCGGTTCAATCAGTGTTGGGATATTACAAGCAACAACGTATGATGGAAATGGTTCGGTGCTCAGAGCCTGATGATCTAATATTCAGAAGCTAATCTTGAAACTGGGAGGGATTTTGAGGACAGGCTTCAAATGATTATGAAGTTGATGTAGTTCGATCGTGAGGCCCAACTTCACCTCCTGACAGCCTGGAACTTCGTGTTTCGTCGTCTGACAAGTCTAACTGGGTACATGGTAGCATCCATGTTGATTCTTGTTTGCTCGGAATACCAGACTACTGAAAATCAACTGGCGGATGCAAGCCTTCAAATAGTTTCATACTCTTACCTGTGAGATCAATTCCATGGCAGTTGTTTTCAGTTTCAAAACTTGAGTGGGGCTGCTCTTCAAGTTGCTTTTTATATCTACCTCCTGAAATCGGTTCAACTTTTAACAAATAGATAAACTGTCAGGAGACAAAATCTCTTTCATATGTTCCTAAGTGTTGAAAGTGAAACTGTGATTTCTTCTCAGTGATACTGAGATATTCTTGCAATGAACAGTACACCTATCAACTAACGTGAAGGATCCTACTGCAATTTCGAGTCAAATACTAAAAATGGCTCTGTTTTAATAATAAAATCCTTTCCTCTCGTTGCAGATCAGACAGTAGCAGTATCTATATTACTAGAATTACCACACGTAACTTGTATGATCTAAGGAACCATAGCTGATTTAATGAGCTGTTCGCAGTTTCACCATGCTCATACATGCATGGGTTAATCTCTTCAACAAGCAGGTGACTACTGGCAAGATAAAAAGTTTATTCTCAGGACAGTGTGCTCAGTATTTTTAAGAATAATTAATTAGCATTTTGACTGTCTGAGCTAGCCGTGGTTGATAGACTAGTGTGTTTATACTGGGTGGCGATTAAAGGTGAAACGAAAATTTCGACCTAGGCTGAATTTCAACTAGCTCCACCGGGTTTCTGGCCTCATGCTCTACCAAGTGAGATAAGAAGTCCAACTACTGACCAGATTTTTATCTTACTTCAGTCACCTGACTGCCATGTGAATTCCTGACGCCTTACTACCACTTGATCCTATTCACACTGGCTGTTCAGTTAAGACTTCTCATCCTAATCGAAATCTAACTGACTTTCACCTTCAATCATTAACCGGTATCAAGACTAGTCTGCTATCTCAGATAGTCAACATGATAATCATTATGATATTCCCCATCTCTAATTCAGTTATATTTGGATTGGGATGAAAAGTCTTGACTAGGTAATCAGTGTGAATACGACCAAGCTGTAGCAATGTATCACGAATTCACATGACCGTCGGGCAAAACTCATGGTGATTAAAGTGGAATAAAAATCCGGTCAGCATTCAGACTTGGTAAAATAGTTGGTAAAATATAGGACCGGATACCCAGTGGTCGGTGCTTCGAATCCGATAGTGGTTTAAATTTTCATTTCGCCTTCAATCATCACCTAGGATTGGTTTTAAGGAAAACCGAACACCTGCGTAGGCCTTTTAAGACCAGAATGGTATACAGTCCTAAAGTTTGGTGCAACCATACAGGTCCCTTCATCTCGATAGGTCATTTGCACTGTTTGTATGCATAAGGAAGTATTGTTATCTCAATCAGTTCAGAATTATCCTGCTTACATGACTTGTCAAGCACATTTCTCTGGACAAAAGACGAAGGGCGTTACAACATCACTGTAGCACAAGATCAATGATAGTGAACCAGTAACCATTAAGGAAAGCACTCTGGCATAGTATAAGCTTTCAGTGCATCTACTGAGATCAGTACAGACCATTCACAATCTCATCAATGAACATTTGTCTTTGGTTGTCAATATATTCTGGGATACAGATTAAGAATAGGCTGTTAGGGTTGTAGGGGAAACAGTCTGGTGTTAAGCTGGTAAACCAAAAGAAGCTTGAATCTGATGTTTTCAAACCAAAGTATTTGGCATCCACAAGGGTTTTTTATCGCACTGTTAGAACTATCATTCATCTCGTCTTTTTTGAACGATGGTACAGAAAATATCGCTGTCTCAAAAATATTGATCAACAGATTAGGGGGAACGCTTTATCATTATTCTACCTTTTATAGATAGTATATCTAAATAATATAACAGAGCGTTAGCGGTTTCTGCATCATAAACATCTACTAACGTGCAATCTATTAATCACATATGAAACTGGACTAAGTTGTGAAGGTAGAAGTGATAACTCATGATGAACTTGAGTGATTCACAGAGTGACCTTGAAATATCCCTTCTATAATCGAACCAATAAGGCTTATATTATTGAGGCGTATATTCGTCAAGATGAAAAGGAATCTGGTCTTATTTAGCAGTTTTGTGCTAATTATCAGGGTTTTCAGATTGTCTATAAACTTTTGTTATTGTTTGAAGGCGAAGAAATTGAGAATACCAATGAGTATCTTACTGCTAACCCACGACACTAACTCCCCAAACTCGAACATTTCATCTTTAGGGGATTCAAAGTGCCTGTTTAAGGCATAAAGTAGCCAAAAGTCAGGGTGAATATCCACTTTCTGCTAATTTATGACTTAATGAATATACCTTGGAAGCTCTAAATCTTAACTCCTTAAGTTCGATTTCGAGACTGTAAAGGATAATCTTAATTGGTCATCGTGGCAGTCTTCATTTTTTGCAGTACTAACTCTAATTCTTGGGAAACATCTCATTATTCTATGTATAAGGAAAATACCAAGAACTTCTAAGTCTATAGGCCACCAAAAATCAGTAAATGACCCACACGCTTCTGATGGTTCACCTCATGGAGCGCAAAATATTTTGACTCCATAGTACAGAGCTTGACGGATTCTACCGTTTTGAGTAACAAATACCGTAAGAAGAGAACACATACTATCTGATTATACACATTGAAAGAAGAAAATCAAGACAAGATCCATTACGTAGTCATTGAACATAGTGGCTACCCAACACACAAAACTCACTTAATATGATTCATTAATATGAGTGTAAAACTTGGGTACTGTGGTCGATTGTAATTCCATTTTAGTCTGTTTATTAGAAATATCACACAGTGAAACAGTAGCATTTACTGGATAACGTTTCGGACACAATTTACTGTCGATATTCATATCAGGTAACTCCACAACTTCTTTATATACTCCTAATTTTCTCTCATTCTCTGTGATGATGTCTTGAAGTTGTGGAGTTACCTGATATGAATATGAACAATAAATTATGTCCGAAACGTTATCCAGTAAATGCTACTGTTTCACTGTGTGATATTTCTAATAAACAGACTAAAATGGAATCACTTAATATGGCTCCTACATATGTCAGCACTTCTGAATGAGAATAACGACCGATCAATAATAAACGACCTTGACCTCGCAGTAATTCACTTTTTCACATTAACCTCAACTGCGCCTCCAGCCCACTTGTAAGCGATATATTTGAGCAAAGACAATGAACAATATACCTCATACCTAAACTTTTGTGTTTTCTGTAAGTGAGCCAGTTCATTTGTCAATGGCACTAAGTTTGCATCCCTAAAAGCGATTGGATTGATGCAGATACAATGAAAAAAGATCGTTCTTTTTTAACCAATATCACTTTCACTTTCTCACTCCTTCTTTCTATAAATGCAGAAGAAGTCATTGCTGGCAGTGGAGTACAACCAAATTATCTGAAGTACAAACAGAAACGAAAGTGCTGGCTAAAACGTCACAAGAAACCAAAGAAAAAACTTACCGCTTTAGAAAAACGTCAACTGGAAATCGCTCGACGTAGAGCAAAAATTGAGAAGAAAAAGAAGAATAAAAACAATATAAAGTCAAAAATCAAGGAGAGATTTGTAAGTGATATTTGTGTACGTACTTCGTTTAATGTTCTTATTTCTATTATTGACATTCAGTGTGATTAACAGTCTCTTCAGAGTGACAATTAACTAATTCAATCTTACACTAGTTTAGCTGGGAGGGTCAATATGAGGGGGAAATGATTGATTTTCCAGGTAGTTTCCATCAGTATATGAAATTAACTAAGAAACCATTGAAAATTAAGCAACACTGAAAATCTGTTTCACTGTACTTTAAAACTCTTAACTCATCTACAATGCTGCATGTAAGCAAGACTAATATCTTCATTGCTCATGGTGTGCTTTCTGCGTTTCAGCGTTAAAATGACATCAAGTGTTTCATATTTTCATATCAGGTACTAATTGGTGAGTTTAGTGCAGCTTGAAGTATCATTCCTACCTGCATATCGCTTCAAAATCATTTCCGTTGAAAATCTCGATGCCTCTTTGTGCATCTTCTATAACATTTAAAGTTATTGTGAACATATATGCAAACATGCTCTCGAAGTTCATTTTTGCGGAAACATTTTGCAGTACTATGAGGAATGCTACTTGTTAACTGCATTTCAGTAGTATACGCAGAAAAATAAAAATTGAAAACTGTGGAGTGATCAATAGGACACAATATCGAATAGATGTATAAGCATTAGTATGCTAAACAACAGAATGCTTGCAGATGTAGCTTTCTTGTACGGTTTAATATTTCCATCTTATCTGAGCTTTGGGGAATTCATTAATTTCAAGTTGGTATTCCTTATGAACTGACATCAGTTGGAGAAACATTGGAAACCTGGGAGGACTGGACAGTTGTTTCGTCCTAGTAAGGAACTCCTCAGTAGTGCGTACCCATGATCCCGCCTCCTAGGGATCGAACTCAGGATCTTCATGCTCCACGACCAACAAGTTACCATTTAGCCACTGGATCGAAGACCAAAGGTCCGTATTTCCTACTTCTGTCAGTTCACAGTATAGCGTGACCTCCATCCAATATCGTTGCTGACTCACTATCCTCACGTTCAACTTGGTTGCTCAGTGGTGACCAGCTTCGAGAGGTGATTCCTGAAGTTCTAATGAGAAGTCGTGACTGATGGGGCCAACTGAGTCGAACATGAGGACAGTTACTCAACAACGGCATTGGATGGAGGTCGCACTATATCGTGAACTGAAAGAAGTAGGAAATATGGACCTTTGGTCTTCAACCCAGTGGCTAAATGGTCACGCGGGACTTGAAGGTCTCTACGGGGGCGGGGTCGTTGGTGCGCACTGCTGAGAGGTTACATACTAGGACGGAACAGATTCCCATCTTTAAGGATTGTAATTTTTCGACAGTCAATCTCTACCGCTCCGTTGAACTTCTCTTCACCACTGTTATGACCATCATCACAGCCACGGTAAATTTTGAATGACATCCTGCTTCTTGGTTTACAGATCTGATTGACTAACTAGGAACTAAGAGTTATTCTCACTAATTCGATTGACTGCTTTATGGTCCTCGTCTTTTTACGTCTTCTTAAAGAGAGTTAAAGTTAGCATAATTTCAAGTATTCGCATTTCGTTAGGAAAATAAGAAAGTACTAATTATCTTTCACTATTGAAAACTCTTACTCTCACTTTTGGTTAACCCATAACGTTAGTGGAATTAGGAAAGGATGGACAAAAAGGGAGTCTTTATACTTCAGAAAAGGTGCTTACTTCCGGAAATTGTTTTTGGATGACTGAAAGCTCATATGGAGATAAATTTTCTCATAATTGAAATTGTTTCTCATTGCATGAGATTGAAGATGGAAAGGGTAGCGAACAGATATCGACAAATTTATCCATACAGTTTTCACTGAAGTAATGTGATTAAATTCAAATTGAGAAACTAAGGTGGTAAAGGACCAACAAGGTTATCGAAGGGTTAATGAACTGACTTTTGAGTATTTTGAACAAAAATCAGGTTGGATACAAATGACTTAAAGGGATTCCTGTTGAAAAATGTGAATAAATGTGGCACATTATTCTAAAGGAAGAGTTGGATAGTACTGAACGCCCATGTATGTATGACCAGTGGTTTGAGGACACAACTGTTGCCCAGTCTCTTAATTTTCTCTGTTAATGACTTTCACAGCTTATTTACTCAGGTCTTTCCAAACAGGTTAACTGGCAGCTCCATATCATAGTTTATAGTTTCATTCTTTTAACAAGACACTAGGTGTTTCCAGTCAGTTCGGCTTTTCATCTCTCCTTTCGTTTGAATTATTGTCAAAATATTCCTCCATTGTTGGCATCTAGTTGAATTTGTGTTAATAAGAAAAGGACTACTTAAAAGTAGTTTTAATTATTTGAGCATAATTAATTTCGATCGAATGGATACCATGCCAACTTTATTTAGTTCTACGCTATTTTGTTTGTTGAATTTTTTGACACAATGAAATGGTATTATACAGAGAAGTATATAGTGGCACACTGCCCAAATTTTATTCTTATATTCTTATAACTTCTTTAAGGTTTCTAGCTATGCATACATACTAATGTTTATTATTTAAAATTGCTTTAGATTAACTCCAAGGGATTATTTCAAAAAGAATTCATTGATCTAAACTATGATATTGAAACTCAAGAGGATCAAAGTTGGGTAGAAACAATACTGGTAAGTTAATATGCAAAAATGATACACCATTTAGAATGGTACAATTTCATTTGGAAAGGGACAAGTAAATATTTTCATTGTAAAAATAAACTTTCTGGTAAATTTTTTCAACTACCAAAGACCTCTTTGGTCATCTTTGGCCCAAGAAATTCTATTGAAATTGATCACAAAAGTCTAATTTCTGCGACCACTTCCGTCTGAAACTTAATAGACCATTAAGAGAAATAGTTTCCTGAAGTGAGCGGCGCTCATTGTATAGTCCAGCTTGATACTAAGATGTCAGTTAGCGATCGGTTCATTACGTAGAAAAATTTATGCTCAAATTCTTAAGACAGGCTACAAGTATCTAAGGTCGTTCTTATACAACAGGCCTATGTCAAATGGTCAAGCAAAGTTAACGGTGAAATGAAATGCAATCGGACTTATGCGCTGATGCTAAGACAGAAACAAGGGCACAAGAAGTTGAAGGAACAGAAGAAAATTCAACACTCTTATGGAGGACAAGGGATAAATCGTTACATATAAATAAAAACAAACTAAGCAGTTATACTGGTGATGAATCTTTGTTATTAAAACTCACGCATGAAGCGATAAAATGCCGGAAATATAACAAGACTACTTATTTGTAACAAGTAGTATAAACATAAATCCATAAAAGTATGCATTGAAAAAATGCAACTACTACAAATTGAGGTTAAATAAAACGAAGTTAAATTGCTTACATCTTGTTTGACACATCATTGTCTTATGTGTTGCAGTGTGTTTGTAATTGCCTATTCGTATGGCATAGCATCTGAGGAATAAAAGTTTACAGCTCAGAGGATACTGACTACTTGCCTATAATTGAGAATTACAACTATTTATGTCTTATGTACTACTTGAAGTAATCAAGTAATCACTCTCATTGACATACAAAACCTGGATAGGATAGGAGATGACACGATGCATGATCCATGTGATTTGTAGAAAAGCTGTAAGATAAAAAGATTTGGATTTCTCACCGATTATCGCTAACTTTCGGTAACCTTGCCAATGAAGTGTAGTAGAATGAAATAGTGGTACGCTCAGAAAGTATTCTGAACATTTAGGCTTCATGTATCCTGGCAACAGAGTGCCAGGCATCTGATGAAAATACAAACTCTATAAAAGTCTTGATGTCACGTCATCCAGTCCTATAGTCACTCTAGTCACAGAAAAACAATCGAATTCATTGTTCACATCATTAAAAAGCCTTGTGTAAAGATGAAAATAATACAATTCTACTTCTTACTTTTTTATATTAAGGTGTACCCAGTTGCTCTTGAAGAAATCCCAGATTTTAAAGGATTTGAGAAACCTTTTCAAAACCTTCCATTTTATAAGGGAAAACAACGAGATGATGATACATCCGAAAGTCGTATAACAGGATTTTTCAAGGTAAGAATATGTATTGACTCACTAAGATACTTCAAGTAAATACCTATGAACTATTGGTTCGAAGTAAACTGTAAATATCTGCTAGCTAACAGTAAGTAGCCTTTGAATCTTTGAATATTTGACTATAGATAGATTTCTTGAAGACAGAAGTGGCTTAGGCAATTAAGAACATTTCATAACGTCATAACCATTGATTTTTGAAAACTTATCCAGTTAGAGAATTAAATTTATTACAATGTATGATTTTTCTGAAGTCTTCTCAATGATCTGATGAATTTTGAATTTTCTTTATGCAATTTCCGACTTTTTGATGTGTCTAGATAGTAGGTATTGTGCTGCCTATTATCTCCCAAGGTGAATTCAGATTCATCTGTTGCTTCTAGACAGGCTTTTTCATTTGTTCGACGTTGTGTTTAACTTTAGGACGTTTATCTAAGCGTAGTTTGATGCACCTGATTGGCATTCACTAAAGTAGGTGAGTCATAGGACCCTCGGTATCTGTTATATATGCAGCGTATTTGATTTACACATTGTAATCAAATTACAAAGTAACTTTCAGTTCAAAAATTACTGCCAAAAAACTTCAAACACATATTCGTTTCCTGACACAGTTAACTGTTGTACTGTTCGACTACTACGTTACCATTTGGATCAAATTCCCACTTGTAATATTAATGATGCTTATGGTTTACCAGTTGACTTCCTGGCTGCATGCAGTTGGAAACTGCCCTTATTTAGAGGCCAAATATGCACCCTACGTATGATGTTGACTGTAGTACATTCAGGTTAGATATTTTCCCGTCGGTTGTCAAAGGGTTACTGAATATGGATTTTTGAGGCAGTTACTTATTATTACAACATCGTGAAGAAGAACAGTCGGTAAAGGGAATGGTTGGTTTGTGGTTTAGATGTTATAGAAGAAATTGGAGTATATGGTGTCAACCTATAATTCTTGAGGTGTGTGATCGAAAATGAGCCAACTCAGAAACAGATCACGGGCAGTGTATAATTCCTCCCTCTGTACCTCATGCTTTACTAAACTGTTAAATAACTATGTCTACGACTACAGACAAGCAATAACTTTCCGATCATATACATCACTAGGTTGACATGCTACTAACCCGCATAGAAACCAGCAGAAAACTATTTGTCTAGCCAATTTTGATCGCTTCATCAAAAGGGTGAGTTATTAAATCGAGTTGCTGAGACTACTTTCAGTAGCATACATTAGAGCAAACGTTATTGTCTGTTCTAGAAAATAGGCATCTGAGTTTAAAGTGTTCTAGATTTCGATATGGTTAACTTGTAGGAATAGTCTAGATTCCCACTTTTGTTTGCTTTTTCTTAGTTAGCGAATGAGCGTTTCAAACCAATTATTTTGAAGACAACTTTCACTAGGTATTGACTTCAATGAGACCAGTGTTGCAATTTTGCGCAGGATTTCTTCCCTATCTAATGCCAAAATAATGTTCTCTCTCAATCAGTTATAGAGATGAAACAGAAATCTGAGTGCTTAGGGCTTTGCGTGTTATCCTTTATTGATCAATTTTACAATCCTGAAATTCTCATTTGCCGGTTTCAGATGATTGGGGATGTAGCGCAGTCATTGTTTAATTTCATATGTACGCGTCCTCCTTTAATGAGTATTACTGTTCATCCAGATCATGACTTTCTACTACAATATGGAGAAACCCTATTTCTAGAAATTCACCAATTAAGCGACAGATTATAATTGTTATTAGTCAGTTTTTATTTATTTGTTGGGTTTACAATGAAGCATACTTGACTATTAACAGCTTGAAATGAAGGGAATAGGCATGACTAAACTCTAGAAACTGCTAATTTTTCAGGTAATTTTCATAATCATTCCCCATTTCAACAAACGGTCGGCAGTTGTTCAGACATGCAAAAATATTGAGGTAGAAACTCAAACACTGTAACAATGAAAAATAGGAATCGAAAGAATTGAGAGAAGAAAATCGTGATCGAAAGGAAGATTATGAGTTGGTAGAGAAAGAACAGATGTTAGCTCATATGGTGTCCAATGTTTACAGAAAGATGAACAATGCAACATATAGTTAGTCCGTTGTTCTGAGCACTGCCTTTTAAGATATTAAATCACTAATTGATTTTAGAATGGAATTCATTATGAACTGACATCAGTTGGAGAAGCATTGGAAACCTCAGAGCACTGCACAACCATTTCCTCATCTCCTCAGCAGTGGGTATCCATGACCCCCCCTCCCAGGGATCGAACATAGGACCTCCAGGTTCCATGGCCAACACCTTACCATTGAGCCCTTCTGTGTCGAAACTCAATGGTCCATATCTCCTACTTCTATCATTTCAAAATATAGCTCGACCTACATCCAGTGATGTCGTTGAGTAACTGTCTTCATGCTCCAATGAGAAGTCGTGACCAGTATAGTCAATCAAGTTGAATATGAGGACAGTTAATCAACAACAGCATTGTATGGAGGTCACTCTGTATCAAGAACTGATAGAAATCGGAAATGTGGACCACTAGATTCCGACCAAGTGGCTGAATGGTAGCATGTTGGCTGCAAAACCTGGGGATCCTGAGTTCTACCCCTAAGAGGCAGGGTCATGGGTATGCACTAGGACGAAAAAGTTGTCCAGTGTTCCCAGGTTTCCTATGCTCCTCCATCTTATGTCAATCTATAATGAATTACAACCTGAAATTAATAAATAAACCTTCAAAAACCTCCAGACAGAGTTAAATAGTTAATTGTTTAGATTTGTAGGAGTTGGATAGGACGGTTTACAACTACCTACACTCTTCAAACCAGCAGTCAGTTAGTTCATGGACTGATGTTATGTTTTTTTCGATCACGCTGATCTTTGTTTCTCCATCCTAAACCTATCTAACCACACTAGATTAGGTAGTGCTTAAGAAGACATAACATCTCCTGAACATGTCAATCGATACTGGTTTGCAAGTTTTTCAAAGGAATTACCTCTGGAGCCTAAGACGACACACCAAACTACACTACCTGTCACTCAATAGTCCAAGTGAGTAACTGATCTAAATTGTTCAAACTGCATACTATCAGCATTCAATCCTGTTATCCTACTGACTTAAATAGTGTAAATATGCGTTATTTATTCATTTTGCATAGTTCTACTTTTAATACTATTGAAACTTTTAAAAAAAATTATACTTTTAGGGTAATTTAGTCATATATCCAGTGAATGATGATGAACCCCTACCAACTGAAATATCCCAACTACGGCTGTACAAAACTTTGCCAGTGAAATCAAAGTTCAAGTTGACTGTACGATTGTATGTTATACGAGTAAGTGTAAATTATTTTCTTTTTTCTTTTTTTCAAAAGCAGAAATTCCTCTAAATTTAAACAAACCGTCAGTATTTATGTTGTTACTTGTATTATCCCGACGTTGTGACAAGTGAAACAGAACAGGCTGCTGGTAGGAGAGACTAAGACCTGACAGCATTATGTCAAATAACCATGTTACTCACTATCTGGGAGGGAAGAGATCAACGCAGATGAAACCAATAAAAGATGATGAAGGAAATATAATTACCAAAGAACAGGAACAGGGGAAACAATGGGCTGACCACTTCGAAAAGCTCTTGAATCGACAACCACCATCACCACCACATGCACTTCATCCAGAAATACCACCTGCAACCACAGAACTACCAGTGAACACAAGCCCTCCGACAGAAGCAGAAGTGCTGAATGCCATAAGGCTACTGAAATCCTGGAAAGTAGCAGGACCAGACGGAATTCCGCTAGAAGCACTGAGAACAGCGGACATGCTCATACCACTATTGCAGAAGATCTGGAAAGGAGGGAAGGTACCTATCGCTCGACAAATAGGCAGAAGGAAGTAGAGATGGATTGGGCATGCACTGAGAAGACTATTCAGGGACATCGCACGCCAGGCCAGACACTCGAGTGGAACCCAGATGGGAAATGACGAGTTGGACGTCTGAGGTGACGGTGACATGGAGGAGATGATGTGAAGAGAAAATAAGAGCTTGTGGGCTGTTGTGGAGCCAGGTTCAAAAGATTGCAGAGAACAGAGTAGAATGGAGACGTGCCACTGAAGCCCAAGGGACAAATAATAATATATAATATAATAATAACCACATTTTCATTGATTGTATACATCTCATAGTGACTTGTGTTACACATAAGATAAGTTTGAAACATAAAAAGCTAAATACTGTGCAACAGTTGAAGACTATGGGATTCAGGGAATTCTTTCTTCAAACGGCTACTCTAAATATCATGAGTCTAAAACCATCAACATTGAATATCAGTGGTGAGGTGGTTAGCTTTGCCTTTTGGTCTGACTGATGCCCTGTTAGGGTATGTTGTCTGTTCTCTTGGTCAGCTGATGATTCACATTTACAATCATAACTGATTATTTACAACGATTAGGAATGATATGCTACCATAGGGCTTAATATCTTGAACTGTGATCAACAGCTCACGGGTTCGAATCTCATTCCGTCCGATCACTTTCAACCAACTGCTTGGTATAGTTGACGCTTAAACGATAGCTGAAATTCACATTTATTTGGTTACTCAACTGTTACTCGTTGTTATAAGAAAAAGTATTTGAGAAAACGTCAAGTGATTCATTGCAAAAGCACTGATGCTTGTGATTTCTTGTTGTTTTACCAGGTCGAAATGATCCATTTCTCTGAGCTCTTATGTGGATGTCTTAATAATGTCTGAAGGTTCATTATGATGCAGTTTACTAGATGGTGGGTAGCAGTGAAATCTAGGGTGCGCATCTTATCCTATTTGGAACTCAACAGCTGTATATACATGCATCACAGTATGCGACAGTGTTCTCACTAGGAGTCACACTCGTTGAACAAGAGGTGACTCTCGTGCCTCAGTCGCCTAATGAAAGACATTCTGGGGTTTGAAGAGGTGGATGTTGGGCTTGAGTCTTTCCTCGGGATGCAGGTGCATCTGGCTGATGAGTTCTAAGTAGGATGGGCTTGCGTGTCCCGGATTCCACTACTGGCCACCACCATGCAAACTACATTCTATAAGACTGTCTAGTGTACTGCCTCATTCCAGCTGGTAGAACACTACCGGATGAAATGGTGATATTTGTATGTCAGTACTGAGTTGCAGTCTCTTGATTATTGGCACTCATTAGGAACGGTCATTACAAGTTCTGAAGGAACTGGTGATCTCTTTGAAATTCAGAGTTGATTCCCTGAATGATGAAGGTTGGAGATATTATTATAAAATTGAACCCTTTCGTGAAAAGTTTTAATGAATTTCGTTTCGAAAAATTTGAATGGTTTCTCAGTGACTAGTGGATCTGTATCTAACTAGTGGATACTTCTGATTATTGACTGAAGTGGCTTTTGGCTGCATAATCCACCCAGTGATAACTGGAGTACAGTAACTAAAGATATCAGGCATAAAAAACTTTCCCTCCTTTAAGAAACCTTGGTGAAAATCCAGCATAATTTTAGGATTCCAAACTAAAAGTGAGGAGTTTACATGCACCCCGCATGATTTCAAGCGGTTTCGGATCAACTTGTGTTCAGAACAACTGACTTATTCAGCTCTAAAGCCTATACTAGTCCGAATTTTATATCGTGAATCTGAACCGGCTACAGAACCACTATGAAACAGATGGTACTGACTATCAAACCATCCTCCTTAAGGAATTCTCGATAGTGAGCACTTACAACACTATGCTAGACTAAGCCAAAGGTGCTCAGGTCCCATATCAAGCATGCCACACTTCAGCCAGATGTTCACATTTTTCAGCTTTCGTCAATTCAGAGTGTAGCATAATCATCATCAATGGATAACTAACCTTACCTTTCACTTCCTTTTTCCCACCAGATCTTGGTCTTCAGTCTGTATGAGGTGATTGGTACTCATTGATATTAAGTTCTAAACTACGGACAAAAAAGTCTCCGGTGTTCCTTAGTTTTCAGTCCCCCATTGATCAATACTTCTGTTCATTTGTCAACATATTTTCTAGTTATAGTACTTCACTATTAATTCTGCTATTTTGTTTTCTTTTTTTGCTTAAAACAAGGCAATTGAATTGCATCCAAGTGATCAAAATGGTAAATCTGATCCATATTTAATTGTTTCACTGGGTAAAACTGTAATCAATGATCGAGACGACTATAAACCGAAAACTTTAAATCCAGTATTTGGAAAGTATTATGAATTTATTGCTCATTTACCAATGGATAATTTGCTTGGTATACAAGTAAGTTGCTGACAGTATTGTATTAAAATGTTAACACATTGATGTAGATTCCACCTTCTTTTAGTTTATTTCACTTGATGTCCTCTCCTTACAAGACTGGAGATAACCGAAGTCATCTCGCTGATTGAATGCATTCATACAAAATCCAAGTATATCATTCAACGACTAGCTTCCTTGTAGACGAACATGTTTCTGTGTGTATTTTTCTCTTAGCTTCATAAGAAAAGACTAGAGGTGGTAATTTTCACTCATCTGATTCCATTGTTGACTCTAATGGGATATTTAGCAATGAAGTATTCAGTATAGTTAATAGCGTGTGATAAACACGGCTTTCACTCAACTCTTATCTACTCTGCCAGTTGGTAGGCAGCTTCGACACGTGCTGTGTACACCCAGACAGCGCCTACCTCGATGAGAAGCTCTGGCTGAAGTGGACTTGGTTAGGAAGAAGAATGTTAAGGTGGTTAGACTAAGACATGATATTATTCTATGAAGTTACTGAAGTTACTGGGTTCTAGTCTCAGAGAGAACATCAAACCCCCTGAGATTACGCAAATGTCTTACTGATGACTGCCAGCAGACACGAAACCTAGGTGGGGTATGACTTCCTGCTGATTGCCTCCAAGCAAAGTAACTTATAGAAAATAATAGAAGTCAGTAGATGATCAAGTTAATCACAATATGTGTGAAGTGGCAATAGCTCCTTAGATATTCAGCTACTGTTTTCCTAATTCCTAGCTTCTCATTCGGCAGTAAAACATTCTCACATAAACACACATCAGGAGGTGGCATGAAGGACCGTCTAGGGAACAAATCACACCACTACATGCAGTTTAAATGATAATTTTCCGACTTCTTTCTCTTAATCCAGGTTATGGACCATGAAAGGGTTGGAGCGGATACCCTGATTGGTGAGACACATATTGATATTGAGAATCGCTTTCATAGTTCTCATCGAGCCACATGTGGTCTAATGCCCAAATATTATGCGTAAGTTCTTTCTCATATATATAATTTATTTGTCTTTGCGTTCCTAGTGGAACAAAGGGCTTCAATAACACGTCAACATTTCACTCTCTTCTCTACACTCTTCTCAACATGACTCTACAACTGCTCACAAGCTTTCATTTCTTCCTCACACCATCTCCCCATGACAACCTCAGCTGAGACGCCAAAATCGTCATTTCCCATTCCAGTTCCAAACGACCGCCTGGTGTGTGATCTCCCAAACCGGTCTTCTCAATGCATGTCCAATCCAATACATACCCACTACCATATGCATATTCGTTGACGATGGGTTGTTGGTTGGTTCGTTGACAGCTAGCTAGCTAGCTAGCCAGCCAGCCAGCCAGAGTTCCTCCCTACTTATTCTTATTATTATACTGGCCATCTCATCGATATTCAGTATCGGGTGAGCGTAGGTGGCAGCTGTTGATGTGATTGATGTATGTCTTCAGTTGTTTGTTGGAAATGCTTCTTGTGACGCGCCAAGTCTCTCAACCATCACATTGAAGCACTGACTGATTGACTGACTGACTGACTGACTGATTCGACTGAATTAGTGTTGAAAATCCGGATGTTGTTCACGCTTCATACTGAGTGCAATGCAGTCGAGTGCAGTAGGTCTCTACACTGATTGTTTCAGATTAATGAAGACCTGTCTTGCTGTCTTTCCGATCATGGTTTCGACAGACATCCTCATGTGTGTGTGTGTGTGTGTGTCGTGATCTGCAGTTGAAACGATGCTGTCTAGATTTGTGGTAGGTAAGTGAAACAGACAACTTGGTTTAGGTTTCTCCCGTTGATGGTGATTGGTGCTTGTTGTTGTTGTTGGTGGTGGTGGTGGTGGTGGTGGTGGTGGTGTTGTTGTTGGTTGAGTATCTTCATCACCTGTGTCTTCTCTACATTCACTTGAAGTCCCATCTTCACAGCCTTGCCTGTTCTGTCAACTTGTTGGTTTTTGTCTATAGATCTTTGAGTTAGTGTGAGAAGACATTAGACAACAGTCATGATGAGTGATAACCAAATCTTCTTCTAGGTTGTCTTCATCGGTCCAGCCGGCGTATGGCCCTCTTCTCGCTCCTCACAATTGTCTGTTGTATGATCCAGTCCAGTCCAGTCCAGTCCAGTGCAGTCGACCACAATGAAGAAGATCATGGGTGACAGTAGGTGGCGACCTTGTCTTACTCCTCTCTCCTGTCTCCTGTCTTTACTTCAAAGGCGTTACTGAGCTTTCCACTGTGAATCACTTGACATGTGGCGTCATTATATATCTGTTGAACGATGTTGGTAATGGCTTTTGGCAGTGAAACCGTAGTGTTGAAGTAGCTGCCTGTCAAATTACTTATCGTTCGATGCTCTCGATGGCCTTTTCGAAGTGGATGAAGTTGAGGTAGAGTTGAGTTGATTTGACTTCCATTCTATGCTTGTTCTATGATGATGCATAGTGTAGCGTTGCAATTTCGTCCGCACATGACTTGTTCTTCCTGAAGTCAGCCAACCAGTCTATTCCTTTCGTAATTTTGAATTCAGAGCATTTTTGTTTTAGTCTCTCCAGGATGATAAGGCTTAATATTTTGCCTGGGATTGATGGGAACAGGAGCATTAATTCGTGCCACTTCTTGGAAAATCATTGGTCGCCCTTATTTGGGAGTTTGACAAAGTAGCCCTTCTTTCAATCGGAAGCTATCGTTCCTTCCATCCAAACCTTCTACAACAGTGGTGTGAGCATGTCCGCTGCTGTTGTCTGTATGTCCATTTTCAGTGCTTCTGGAGAAGTCCCGTCTTGTCCTGCTGCTCTCCCGGATTTCAGTAACTTTGTGGCTTTCAGGACTTCACTTCTGCTTTTGTTGGAGTGTTCGTGATCACTGGTAATTCTGTGTCTGGGCTGCTGGTGGTATTTCTGGACGAGTTGCAAGTGGTGGTGGTGGTCGATTCAAGAGTTTTCTGAAGTGGTCAGCCCATCCTTCCCTTTGTTCCGCTTCTTTGGTGGCAACTAACTTTCCTTCACTATCTCTCATTGGTTTCCTCTGTGTTGATCTCTCCCCTCCGAGATAGCAAGTAACCTGGTTATTTGATATAATGTTATCAGCTGTCTGTCTCTCCTACCTGCAGCCTATTCTACTTCACTTGATTTTTTAGTCTCCATAAAACCTTTGTCGCCGTCTGCCCTCCAACTTTTGTTCTTTCCTGCGAAATATTCATCAATTCTTTCTAGAAGTAAACGAAATCTTATTGTAGGTTCTTCTAGCCGTGACCAATCAGTTCTTGGGAATTATGTTAAGCAACATCAATGCAAACGTTTCTTCAAACCGATACTTTTCTAACACACTGATTCATGTAAATGAACAATATTTTGCATACTTTGATATGTTTAACTTAGTAAGCAGTTTATACAAAACTTTGGAATGAAAGGGATACATATTATTCTACAAAACTGTTGTTCTCATGCATATGAAATTGAAAGTGCTAAGCGCCTTCTAAAGTTGACTGTTTAAAAAGTGATAGAAACACATATAAATTAGAAGAGATCGAGAAATTTCAGATGTTTGGTGTGAAAAACAACAACTGGCTTTATTTATTGTTTAGGCATAGAAATGGGTTAGCAGGCTTTATGCACTTAAATGATAAGATGGGCAGACTTCCTAAAATAAGAGTAGGTTTTGAAATGAGCATGTGAAGAAAGTGATAAAACGTGATGATATGAAATCATGTCACTAGGAGTTTTGAAGCTTTAAAAGTTACCCAGATAGTAATTAGCAGAAGGAGGGTTGTTTCTTGTTAAACCAAAGGATCAGCTTTGAGCCATATGTTTTATTGTACTTTTGTTGTAAAAAAGGTGATGAGACTGCAGGAAGTAAATGTTTTCATATTCTACTACTATTTCTTTTCTCATCCTTTGAGAAATTACATTTAATGAAGAGATGCTGAACAATCGTTGAACTGCAGTGTTCCTGCCTAGAGCTCACTGGTCTAGTATTGCTGATACAAGCAGATAGCCTAGAATGAAGACAATAAATATTACAAGTTGAGCTGCTTGTCATCTGAACGGTAATTTCTGAGACTCCAGTTCAGCTGCTCTTGTATCCTGTCTCCCTTCAGAGAGGCGGTTAGTTATAAACCACCCTTTCACTTGAATCGAAATCACAAAAGGAGTGGGGAAACATGAAACAAAGACAATAATTTCTTTATTTACTTTATCAGAACAATAACCTCCATAGCAGCAGTATGAAGCGAATAAGGAAATTTATGCTAATTATGTCAAAGCAGACTAGATCATTGATCATTTCAATCCCCTTATTCAGCAAAAAACTGTTTACTTATTAATTAAAAATCCATACTACAATAAATTTGTTGCAAGTTTCAATCTCTGAAAAGTACCTTTGGTGAAATCATGGGTCGTAAATGAAATATGTAGCGGTAAATAATGTTTGCATAACTGAAAGTTGACAGTTCACTACTGATCGTCTTACGCTTGATAGATACTGTAGGTAGGTGTAAACAAAAAGTTTAGTGATTAGAAATCAGGTTACGTCATCTGTTCGTTGACACTCCTATTCCAAAGCATATGAAATGGAACCTGCATCGCGAATAGTTTGGAGATGCAATCGCTATCTACAATAATCAGTGGCACAGCTTTAAGTCTCTTATTTCGTTCTGGTTGCAGTTTCATCATTCTAATGAGTCCCAATAAGTACGAAACCTGGATCTGTTGCTTTTGTTTAGTGTCCTCTAGCATCTGACACCAAACAATGCGCAGAAGGGCTGTTTCATTGATCAAAGTAGTAGTCGCATCTTAAACGTGATTTATAGACTTCAGTCGGTACTCTGAACTTGAAAGATGCATCAGTTACCCGGTTAATGACACTAGTATTAAATATAAATGGTTCGTTGATTGCTCTTGTCCACTAGTTTAAGTTGTCGCAGTTTCATTAAACTACTATAGCCAGGAAGATAAAGCATAAATACATGGTTTCATTTCTCCATTCTTTTGTCTTCTAGTCATGGTTATTGTCAATGGAAAGATAGTCAACAACCAACTGAAATACTAGCAAAGCTTTGTGATAGGTACGGTATTCCTCAACCGGTCTACAATATACTGGAAAATAAAATTACAATAGGCAGTGAAACATACTATGCCAATACCGAAATTCGAAATGAAACAGGTGGGTTACATTTATTTTCATGCTAAAAGTATGTTACTACTAATGAATAGTTAATTTCATTTAGTGTCTATCTTTCTTGTTCATTATTGGCCTACGCCATGGGACAACATACGAAAAGAAAAACATCAGTTTATAACCTCAAAGTTTTTAATCCTCAAATTTGGTAGGCTTCGGTTAAAAGCACTGAAGTGACAGAAGTGGATAAAACGCTGATTTAATGATCACAGTGAACGCAGTGTGATACTTAAACTGAATAATTATATATATATATATATATATATATATATATATATATATATATATATATATATCGTTCAATGCAGACTAGGGTGGGTGAACACATACCCAAATGGCTTGAAAAGCAATTTAACACATAAACATTGATAATTGCAGGTGACAGACATCCATCGTCATCTATAGCAAAACATATTATTGAAATGAATCACAAGGTTAGTACGAAAACAGCCTTCAAGATATAATACAGGAATAATCAGGGGCACGTACTGAAGTTTGCCGAAGCGTTAGCCATTCGTAAACTTAATCCCCCGCTGTGCGTACAAAAAACAATTTGTTGTTTCACTTAATTTACCTTGCTAATCCTTATCTGATTATATTACCAAGACTAGTGTCACAACCTTTTCATTTTCACGATATTTGACCTTTACTTTTCATATATAAATTGACTTGAGACAAGTGAATATGTGATCAGATGGTTCGAAATGTATTGCGCAAATATATCACATTTTGCAGATAATCTTCGTCTTCTAATAGCCTTATCGAAATTTATTAAAGGGACTAATTGTTTCAAAATTCAAGAAATTAACCTGATTTGTTATTCGCCGTCAAATTCCTTAGAAATCACATCGTACAACAAGTTCGATGCATACAGGACAGCGATATCATACAGTCTCAGCGTTACCGTAACAAGGGGTTTGAGTGCTTCATAAATGCTTTACAGAATAAAATCATTTTGCTTAAACTTTTCTAACGGCCGGTTTAACAACTTTTTCACTTTCTGCTCTTAAGTCTACGCCAGTCGATAACTTCTCGAACTCCCTATGGTCACTAGGCAGAGCGTGGATATTGTCCAAGTAATTAGCTTTATTAAAAATAACCCCTTTTGGGTTAAGTGATCACTAAATTTTTGTTCGTTTATAATTTATGCTGAACAGTCAAGATGTTGTTGACACCAAGCCTATCGTTCATGAACTTGTAGCAACAGTCACCCAGAACTGACCTCAGTCTTTCCACGTTTTCCCACGACGAAGTGATAAGTCGGCTAGATATGATTGACAAATTTTAAATCACATGAATATCTCTTCTATTCACTATAATGTGAATATCACAGAACTCAAGACCCAGAGCTAGTACTTTCAAAACTACCACATCAAGATGAACATTCAAAAGGTCATACATATATGGATTTGGATATGGAGATGGTCTATGAGATGTAGATTACCAGACCTTGGGTAGACTGGGTCAGCTTGTTTTGTCTTCTTTCGCCGATTATTTGATTCACCTGTTTCACGAAAGATCACTTCATGTGAGTAGGCAAATTTTTGCACAGTATATACTCCTCTTCAGTTGTATGTAACGGCGAGACTGAAGAGGCTCGTTTTGATTGGATGCATGCCATCCTTTGGGTAGAAATCTACTGAGGTATGGGGGTTTCCAGTAAGATTTCACCCAGCCATTCTTTTCATTGATAAACTTCGCTGGTGTCTTTGCTTCACTGAGTCTTCTGACCTGTATCGGTTACTTATTGAAGACCATTTAACTCAAATCATTTCTGTGTATCTAAAAAATTTGTATGATCCTCACTCTTGTTACTATAGAAAATAAACTAATTTAATTAGAAGAACTTTGTGAATAGACTTGGAAGACGTTTCACTATGAAAGTTTCTTTTTAATGGATGGAAAAAATTATCGTTTTCAATTTTTTAGGCATAACAATTAAATCCGTTGAACCGTTAGCGTTGGAAGCCTTGCATAAGTGGTCATCTATTACCAGCAAGGATGCAAAACTAGTCACAGAGCATGTGGAAACACGTTCTTTAAAACATCCAGATAATCCTGGTATAATTCAAGGTCGACTACAAATGTGGATTGATATGTTTGAAAGGGAGGTGGCTGTCCCCCCATCAGCAATTGATATATCACCACGTGCACCAACAGCGTATGAATTACGTGTTATTGTGTGGAATACAGCTGAGGTGAGTCTACTTTTTAAAAAGAATTCTCTGATGATACTCTGTTGAATGCTGAAACTGCGTAGATTTCAATTGGTGAACTTTGTATTATGCAGAGGTGATGACTGTCTGCGTCGTTCGGCAGACTTGTTTTGATGGAAAGTGATGATGACTGAAAGTGAAATGAAAATCTGAGCTGCAGCAGGAGTCGAACCAGTGACTTCCGGGTTACTAGTCTAGTGCTCTACCAGCTGTTCAACTTTGATGTAAACAGGGTTCCTTTTGGAAGACAGTCAACCAAGATCACACTTTGTAAGGATCCAGATGAAAGACAATTGACTTACAGTTTCTTCATAAAGTTAGTTGTACGGTTTGCAGTTCATATGCTGATAGAGGTTTGAAGCATTTGCACCTAACATTCACACTCTAACTCCCGATATACTAACCATTTGGAATCAGGGAATACTAGAGAAAATGTTCTGTTTAGTCTATGGTGTTTCTGTGGGTTGAAATCATATTGTCCCCCTGCTGAAATAATATATCCAACTGCACTGACCGGTCCCATGAACATTAATGCAGCTTATAAGTGAAAAACAAGAAATTAAAATAATGATGAACAGCGACTGGCGTTGGAATCCAGGATGCGCGTTACGCCCTCGTTTGGATTCATCAGCTGAATGTATCTGCCTTTCCACAAAGACTCGAAACAAGGACAAACCGCTTCAAACACCACAGCACTATCCATTAACACCAACATAATAATTTAAAGGTGCTAATACTTCAGGACTAATGCGCCTGACTTCGACACCGAGCATCCAGTGTGTAACACTCACTGGGAGCTCCCTTTATGTAAGCAGTGTACCTTAAAGACGAGTACCATGAAACCGCGAAACCTAATTCGATGACTTCCTGTTTACTGTCTAGAACCATTCAATAGGCTACAAATTATGTTGTTGCTCACTACCTCTCTAACAGTTGACAAGTATTCATAGAGTTTGTCCTTAAAGTTCTTCTATAAACCTTATCAACTCTCAATTTAGCTAAAATCTGTTGTTTATTTTGATTCTCAGGTGAAACTCACTGATACTTCGTTGTTCTCTTCAGAGAGAAGTTCTGATATTTATGTTAAAGGATGGATAAAAGGCGTCGGAATCGATGATCAAAAAACTGACGTTCATTATAGGTTAGTGTTAGCTATTGGTCAATTTTATTTACATTTTGAAGTTACCGTCAATTTGGTGGAAATTTTCAATTTCATTCATTCCAAATAATAATGCGACCACGAAGTAGACAAATTTTTCTTTCCTATAAGTTTTATTTGCGTAGTTTATTTGGAAGTTGTATCAAATCCAGCCTTCAGTTAAAGGCTGCGGTGTATTTTAAAAGCAGATGTCAGTACTTTAGCTATTCATGTCCACATCGAATATCGTAGTACGGACAAAATAAATTTCCCTATGTAACATCAACTATTGAACAATGAATGATGGACGAATTTCTCCTGAGCAAACTTTCTCAAGCGTAGCAAAAATGCATGATATAACAAGAGAAGACATGTATCTCCCATCTTATAGGTGTCATCAAGTGTCTTTTGAGAGTCGTTTTGAACGTTTTCTCAAAATATTTTTACAACGTCAGCATAAAACATGTAAGAGTCTTGGCAGAATAGGACAGATCAACTTTATTTCGGAGTTTCTCATCAGCTGCTTACAACTCGAAACAATTTCAACATCAATCGAGTTGACAGAAAATTATTTGTTTTGAAAAAGCTAACCTTGATACAATGTAAACGGGAAACACGCGGGTGAGTGAATAAATATACAAGACCAATATAAGAGTAATATTATCAATACGTAGAAATATCAGACGAATATTCTACAGCGGGAGTGGGGAAAAAAACGAAGGAGACAAATGTTATCAGGAAGGTTGCATAAAAAATACGTGTATTAAATGGGTCAAGTGATTTGAGCTACTTAAGAAAAATATGATTAGAATCCGGAAACTGAGGTCAAATGGGTGAAATGGAATGGCGACGAAGATGGATAGTGGCTAACAGTGGAATCATAGACGCGCTTTCGTCCTGTTTAAGACTTGTCAGCTGGAGGCCACTATACATCATTACTATCAATTTTGAAAATACAGTTAATACCGAGACATCCTCACACACGCGCGCCCATATCCTAATAGTGGCCGATAACTTCGTTCCAATCAACGCCGAAGATTCACAAACTGTAACATCAAATAACAATAAAGATCTGTGATTCGATATTGACGCTTAGAACAAGCGTGATCATCAACAACACAAAAATACCCTACCATAGACCAACAACGGTTCCTTTCTGAATATGCAAATTTGGTTTTAACCCTTTGATGGCTATTGTTTTAGTGAAGTGCAACAAAGCCGGATTTAAAATATCTGAATATCAACTTCATTTACACTATAAGATGATGAACAGTATAGCTATTAAACACCTTTCCACCTCTCAGTTGCAAACCTCTTGAAGGATGCTCAGAAATGCGGTCGCAACCTTTCTCGATATTTAGAAAAAGACTGATTGAACGATGAAGTATATTCCTTTTCAGTTAGGTCTTCATCTTGGGCTCTACACTAATACACAGTTTTACAATTTAATCAAATTACCAATCATATAGTGATGTTCTAGAAATAAAGATGTAAATAATCAATAGAGTTACTAAAATTGGAAATATGAAGCAGGCTATTCTTAGATAAATGGAGTGATTTTTGATGAGTGCACAGTCATTCACAATAAGGCATTACGTTAGAATAAGAAAACAAGAAGGGGAAGAGGTGTAAAAAGTAATCGTAGAAGTTACATCATGTTGACGACCACGGTAAGGAAATTGGTTGAACAAACCTCTTTTAAATACAAATTTAGGTTTGTGAAGGTGGATTGCAATCACATCTGCTATGTGAAGTAAGCGAGTCCGTATCCATGTGGTAAATTAATTGGGATCTGATGAATGATTATGAAAGCTTTACTAGTATCTACTTGATGTCCCATGTCAACTAGGTGAGCAAGTATGAAGCTCTTTATTGTTCTAATTTGTCCCTTGCTCAACCTTGATAGGTGGTGCTCAGAAATTCGATGATGTAGCATACATTTGTCTCTTCTGGCTTTCATTAAACTTTCGCGTTAGAATATTCGTTGAATCTTTCCTCTCACACTGAGAAATTTAGTATTCCTTTTTGTATGTCGATTCACTCAACTAGAGTGTGTTTTCCAATGACGTCATACTAATGTTATATCTTCTTCAAGCCGATAATTTTTCATCAAGTCGATTCAAGTATGCAAACATTTTCTACATAAACTGATGTGAAAATTGGTTTAGGTTGTAAACGGCTGATGAGGAACTCCGAAATGAAATGTATTCATCCTATTCTACTAAAACTGTTGTTCTTGCTTTGGTTAAATGTATTAGGGGAAAGAACGATATGACATTAAAAAAGGGAGCTTTTAAAAATATGAGTAATTAACTAAATAAACTGTTTTGATCGGATTCATTGACTTATCCTTTGCATATTTCCGAGCATTTTCACATCATTGTCTCCATAGTACACCTGTAATTTTGTGGTACAGACTATATCCTTGTCGAACACCCTGTTGTTAATTACCCAGTCTCACTTTCTGTGATCTCATTAACCATGTTACAGTTGAAGCACAGAGAAAAATCTATAACGAACGACAAATTTCAAAGAATACATAGAAAACAGAAAAAAGGCCTGAAAAGATGTTGGCTTTCTGATCACACTATAGCGAATATGAATGGCAAATTGTTACACCATGGTCATTTACCACTGGTTAGCTGTTGACCTAACAGTTTTGCGTCTGTAGCAGAATGACTATAGTCTGACGGCATTTGAATTTAGTTGTGGATAATCTTGAACTTCCCTGAAGAGTATCTCCTTCAGCACAGCTTCTGCATATAGGAGTGGTTGGTAGCATTTTTTTAGGAACTCGGTTTGGCATTCTGAGTCATTTATACTTCCATACATTATAGTGTCAATTCAATTGAAACTTTTATTTATCCACTAGGAAATTAGGAGGCTTTGGTGACTGCAAACTAATCAATCAACAGAAGTATCATCCAAATATCTCTACTTCACATATTAAAAGTTGAATATGAACGAAAAATATTTTCAGGGTGGTATTCATCACTGAGTGACATCAGTTGGAGAACCATTAAAAAACCTGAGAGCACTGGACACTCATTCCATCTTACTATGGTACTCTTCAGCAGCATCCACGCATGACTTCATCAGAGGTTGGACTCAGGACCTTCAGGTTGCACAGTTAACACATTAACCATTCTCAGTAGAACTTTTGGATATCTCCAAATATGTTATTAATGTGCACTGTTCGGTAGTGTATTTTGAGGTTAGTGGGATAGTCGCTTTATACTGCGTATTGATAGAAGTAGGAAACTATGGATCATTTAACTTCAAACCAATGGCTGACTGGTTGACGTATCCATGAGTTTGATCTATAGCACGGTGCTGGGTACGTTTTGCTGAGAAGTCCCATACTAGGATGAAACAGCTATCCAGGCTCCCAAGTTTTCAATTGTTCTTCAGCCGATGTCAGTCTGTCATGAATACTATTTTTAAAACATCAAACCCCTGTTAACCTCAAAATACATCACAATTATATTGTTCAAGTTAGTGGATAATAGTAAAACTCATATTATTGCAGTGATAAGTTGAGTGTAAACTTCAACCGTCAGTTGATTGATGATTGAGCATTATTATTATTAATATTATTATTATTAGTCCCTTGGGTTCCTAATAAAACATATGGCTTCAGTAGCACGTCTTCATTCCACCCTCTTCTCTCAAATCTTTCAAACCTGGCTCCACAACTGCCCAAAAACTCTCATTTACTCCTCGCACCATCTCACCCATATCACCCTTGCCTCGGACACCAAACTCGTCGTTTCCCATGGAGGTTCCACTCAACGACACAGCCTGGGGTGTGATGTCCACAGTCGGACTTCTCAGTGTATACCCAATCCATCTCCACTTCCTTCCAATGCATATTTGTTGAGTGATAGGTTGTTCTTGGTTGGTTCGTTCCCACAGCTCCTTGTTGCTTATTCTCATTATTCTGGCCATCTGAGCTTCAGTGTCAGTATCGAGCCAGAGTAGGCAGTTGTTGATGCATGTCTGCAGCTTGTTGGAAATCCCTTTCGTAACGCTCCAAGTCTCTGAAGCATACAGAAGCACTGACTTGACGTTGGTGATGATTGAGCATGGGGAAGGAGAATTAATAGTAAAGTTCAAGATCACATTGTATCCAGTGAGTGATTAGAACAAAGATTGTTGACATAAATTTACCCAAAGGGTAGAAATTAAGTGTATATGTCACAATAAGATGGTTGAAGTGTTAAACGGTTAAGATAATAAGAGTAGTAATAGTGTGAACGTGTTTAACAGTATAATATTAGTTGTACAAGTCGTGACTGTCTTGCCTTAGTAGTCTGGTGAGTACTGCCCCACCATTATAAGCGATGGGCATAAATATAAGTGTAAAACTTGGGCACTGTGGTAGAATGTAATTCCATATTAGATTTGTTTATTTGACATATAGCGCACAGTGATATAGTATTATTTACTTGATTACGTTCGAGCATAAATTATCATTACTCATAATCATATCAATGTAATCACACCACTTTCGAAATCTGATTTTATAGTCCTGTCACCTGATCTCTCTTTGTTTTTTTGATTGGTAGTAAAGTTTTCCATATCTCTGGTATAGGTGTTGCGTCATTCCTATTACATGTGTTGGGTGTGGATTCGATGAACAAAGATTCAGTAATTAATCTCTCTCTCCACCCAGCTATATTAGACTCAAGTACAGTGGTTTTGTCCCACCCTATTGTGTGGTTGTGTGTTAATGAATGTAATGCAATGGCCGAGTGTTTTTCTAGATAACTGATCTTATTGGGGTCTGTTGTTCTATGTTTAGCTAAATTCCTATGTTCTGCTAATCTAACTGACCCTGACCGGCTAGTTTGACCTATGTATTTGACCTCACAGTCATTACATGGAATTTGGTAGATTATATTGGTATGATTATGGTATGGTATGGTATGATTATGAGCAATAATTTATGCTCGAAACGTAATCAAGTAAATAATACTGTATCACTGTGCTCTATATATCAAATAAACAAATCTAGTATATTATTTTGCCTAATTGGTTCTATCGGATCTTTTAGCCGACAAAGCTTACCTCTAAGTGAGTTTGTTGGTTTAAATGCCACCCTAATTCCAACCTTGTTGAGAATCCTACGTATGGTTTCTGATGTTCCTTCCTTGTATGGTATCACAATAGAGGTGTTGATTTCCTTTCTACTTATGTTGTCACTATTATTTGTATTTGTATTAGTGTTATTATTTTGCTTCTTATGTGTGTGTGAATTTCTTAATAAAATGATGGGGATAATTATTAATTATTAACGCTTCTTTTATGTGTTTCAATTCCTTATTTAAGTCCTTACAATGACTAGTGAGTTTCTCAGCTCTGTTATTTAGACATTTGACTAAACCCGCTTTAACTGACACTGGATGAGATGACTTGAAGTCTAGATACCTGTTAGAATGTGTTGGTTTTCTGTAGACGGTAGTATCTAAACCACCATCTATCCTTCGTTTTATTCTGCAATCCAACATAGGTAATTCTCCTTGTTCATTTTCTACTTCGTAGTGAATTGGATTGCGTTAACTACTGAGTTTATGTGTGTCAAGAAACTGTCGATATGTTCCGATTTCAACACTGTAAATGTGTCATCTACATATCGCCACCATATCTTAGGTGTCGGATTATATGTTCGTAAAGCCATATCTTCCCAACTATCCATAAATATATCTGCTACTATAGGGGATATTGGTGATCCCATTGCTACTCCTTCTGTTTGTCTACATATCTTTCCCTGAAACTTGAAGACTGTCGAGGTTAAGCATAACTGCACTCCTAACATGATTTCACCAACCGATGCCTTGGTTCTTTGAGTAAGTTGTGAGTCAGTATCTAGTTGATTTCTGACTGCCTCCAGTGCCATATTGATTGGTATTTTAGTATAAAGACTTGTTACGTCAAAACTAACCATTTTTTCATCCTCTTCTATGTGCAGGTCATTAAGTTTTTGTTTCAACTCGTAAGAATTTACTAGTCTAGAGTTGGAACGGTCTCTAACAGGACGTAATACTGATGCTAAATACTTTGATATCTCATATGTTGGTGTGTTCCGGAAGTCAACTATCGGCCTAATGGGATAACCTGCTTTATGAACCTTAATAGTACCGTAAATTCTGCTAGGATTATTAGTTTTTGGCATTAAAGTAAACCATTCGGACTTACCTAGAGATGGCTTCAGTCGGCGTATCAGATCTGTTGTAGATTTCTTAATTTTATTCATGACAGTATCTATAGGTTTCTTAATCTCTTCATATGGCCCTGTTTGGATATGTTCATCCATTTTTTTAAGATAATCCGATTTGTCCATAACTACTGTTGAGTTACCTTTGTCAGATTTAGCAATTACTATACTATTATCCTTTCGTAGATTGTTTAAAGCTGAATTTTCCAGTTTCGTTAAGTTTCTCACAAAGTTTGAATCTTAATGGGAACAACATCACCCAGTGGAGTGAAGGAACACCCAGATGACGAGTCCCAAGTAGGACGAAACTCCCATTCTGAACTCTACTGCTAGCCTCAGCCAAGGCAATTAGAACAGATTTAAGAGGTTTATTATAACAAGAGGGGAAAGCGAAGGAAAATCTGGTTGAAAAGAATTTTATTTCTTAAAATTAGAGTGGAGGGGCAACCGAAAGAAAAAAGAGAAATACTGTTTAGTCAAGAAAGGAGTGAAACTTCGACGTCTTCATCTTGAATACGAGGTTCAACCTTAGTTGGTCTTATTTATAGCTGTAGCCTTCGCTGTATGGAGAATGTGTAAACAAATGGTAGGTGGTAGAATGTTCGGAACGCGGTGTATCACAGTAAAAGCTGTGGTAGCATCTATTAGATGCGCTTAGTACAGAACTTCCAATGGATTTGATCTTATCCTTTGCAAATCATCCCGGTAGATGTTGTCATATCCTGAGATGAACGTGTCTAACAACGGGTCCTTTATAATTGATCACTCACTGGATACAATGTGATCTTGAACTTTACTATTAATTCTCCTTTCCCATGCTCAATCATCAATCAACTGACGGTTGAAGTTTACATTCAACTTATCACTGCAATAATATGAGTTATACTATCATCCACTAACTTGAACAGTCTAATTGTAATTTAAATTTAATATCCGTTCTAAAATACATTCGCCGTAAATTTCGCTGTTACTATGTTAAGGAATTGCATTTAATAACTGTAATACCTGACGAGAAGTTATTAACTATTGGGATTGAAGTGAACGCATTTAAAATGTTTATTTTAACTCAGGTTTATGTAGTGTCAAACTTATGGCTCGATGAGTAAAGTTTCCGAGACACTTGTTTTAACCTGTTTCAGTTGTTTTTCACGTTCTTTTTAAGTTCATAAAGGGAAATTAAGGACAAACTCATTTTTACTTTTGACAGAAGTTATCAGTATATTAACATTATGTAGATGAAAACCTTCCACGACTAATGTCTTATTTTTATTTGTTTCCATACTACCAGTAAGTTACTTTTGTCACAAATTTCGAAAATGGATTGGATGCTCTTGAAAGCAGTTTAATTGGCAATAAAAGTCCATAGCCTTGTAGGATAGACGGGGATTTTGCGAAGCCTGTTAACATTTCACGCATTCAATAGATGAACTGTTATGACATTCAGTTAACCTATTTCATGATCTCTTATTAGATTTGTAACACACAATGATCTAGTATTATTTACTTGATGACGTTTCGAGCATAAATTATCATTACTCATAATCATATCAATGTAATCACACTAATTTCGACATTTGATTTTTATAGTTATGTCACTTTATATGAGTTGTTTTTATTGCTAGCAAAATTTTCCATATCTCCACTGGCATTGGTGTTGCTTCATTCCCCCCCTCTCTCTCTCCCTCCCTCCCCCACCCTCTCTCTCAAACTAATCACATTGAACTTGACAACAGAGACTCTATCTCACACAATTGTGTGGTTGTATGTTAATGCATACATGCATGCATGTATGCATTGTAACAATCGAGTTCTTTTCAGACTGTTGATCTTATTCAGGTCTGTCATTCTATATTTAGCTAAATTCCTATGTCACGCTATTCTAACTAACCGTGATCAGTTAGTTTGACCTATGTACTTGACCTCACAGTCATTGCATGCAGTATGGAACATTAGATTATTTTGCTGGATTGCTTCTATCGCATCCGTAAGCCAGCCGACAAATCTTATCTCTGAATGAGTCTGTTGAGAATCCAATATACGGTTTCTGATGTATACAATAGAGGTTTTGAACTCCTCTCTACTCATGTTGTCCCTATTATTCCTACTCGTATTACTCAAATTATTTCGTTTCTTATGTATTCGTAGGAATTTGTTAATGAACTGCAGAGGAAAATTATTAACTATTACAACTTCTTTTATGTGCTTCAATTCCTTGTTTCATTCCTTACAGTGACTAGTAATTTTTCTAGCTCTATTATTTCGACATTTGAGTAAACCCACCTTAACTGAGATTAGATGATATGACCTGAAGTTTAGATACTTGTTAAAGTGTATAGGTTTTCTGTAGACGGTAGTATTCAAATCACCACCTGTCCTTCAAGAAATCCGGAAATTTCGAAAACATGTGCAGTCTACCGTCGAAAATATCCTCCCATTCTCCCTGCTTTAGGTCAAATAAGTATAGCCACTGTTGTCTGCAGTCACAAATGTTCAGTACCAGTTTGCAATGAAATCCCGAATTAGCAATATATATTGACACACGTCTAAATTTGTACACTTAAATTTTTGATTAGGTCGCTTTCTGGGGAAGGGAATTTCAACTGGCGTTTCATATTCCCATTCGATTATATCAAAGCAGAAGATAGAATTATTTATCCTATTAAAGGGACATTTGATATAGAACCGCATATGATGAAGGCTAACTGTGAGCTGACATTACAAGTATGGGATGCTGATATTATAACTAGAGATAATTTTATCGGTAAGTGCGATATATTCTCAGTTTTATTTTATCCTCTGGAACAAGCATGTTGATATCTCCTTGAGTTTAACTTTGGTATCATTTATCCAATGGCAGTTAATAGTGGGATCTCGGAGGGGCTTCTCATCTTCGTTGAGGATAAACAACCAGGAATTTCAAAATTTAAATAATAAGTGGATATTTGGTCATTGTATGGACACAGAGTTCCAATTTCCTAACGATTTGTACAACACATCACGAACTTTGCATAAATATTTCCAGAACATTCGAAAATGATTATTACTATTATTATTTGTCCCTTGGGTTCCTAGTACAACATGCGGCTTCAGTGACACGTCGCCATTTCACTCTCTTCTCTGCAGTCTTTTCAACCTGGCTCCACGACTGCCTACAAGCTCTCATTTCTTCCTCACATGATCTCCTCATGTCACCCTCAGCTCGTACACCCAACTCGTCGTCTCCCATCTGGGTTCCACCTGAGAGCCTGGCCTGGGGCGTGATGTCCCCAGTCGGCCTTCTCAGTGTACGCCCAATCCATCTTTACTTTCTTTTGCATGTTTGTTGCGTGATATTCGAAAATTATACTGTGGGGTAAAAAAATTCCTTCATATGGATACCGACCACATCCACGGTGATTCTGTCAAAGGCTAGAGAAAAAAGATCATATTTGACAAGGTTTTATTAGAACAGCAGAGACTAAGTCTCTGAGGAAAGGTTGTTAAAAGGAGACCTTAGAATGTAGTTGTACGTAGTTATATGACCAAGTTTCTGAATTCGCGTTTGAGAACTTAAAAACGTGACACTAGTCTTTAGAACTTATGATCAACACTTTATTTCAATAAAGTTGTGAGTGACGTATTCACTGAATATGGAATTATTGCTGAAGAGCAAAACGAAACTCCACCAACTAATCAACCAAGTTGACCCACTATCATAGCCTCCATTAGCAGGATCTTATTGACCCGCTTACTGCAATCATGTGTTTTATGCGCACAGACATCGATGATATCTGTTCAGCCGATTATCAAATGTAGTAGCGTGATTCACAATGCAGTGGAGCAACTTTTGGTGCAGCATTCCCATTTTTATTGGTGCCAAATTATAGTTCCCGTTGCACTCACCCGTTCTGAATCCTGGAGTTCATGTGAACCACTGGCTTAGAATTAGAGTTTGCCAACTTCCCTGAGTATGTTATCCCTATCTCTCAGCCCGGTTATTAGCACTCAAACATTCTCTTTCCACCTCTCACTTTTGTACAAGAAAGCATGTCATATGGAGGTGATAAGTTGAACTTCCCTGACAGAGGTGATGAACGCATGGGTATATGAGAGCATTTTGAGAAGATGAGTTGGATTATCCAAACCTACGCCATACTTGAGTGTTTAAGCAACACCAGAACATTTGAGTTCGATAATATCCCGTTAAATCCAGTATTTATTTGTCACCCGTACCGACTTTAGCAAAACTTATGCACCTGTGATGCACTAGTCTTAAAAGGAAACAATTTTGCAAGAATTGGTATTATTTAGCCAAGGGTGAGGGTTGAATAAAAAGACTAGTATTTATGTAAATGGAGTTCCCTAATGGAATGGATAGAAAATTCAGTTTGTGAGAAGATTGGGACTATCAACCTTTAGGTTACTCATCTACCGCTGCACTGACTCAGGTCAGATTTCCTCTTCAGTCATGAAGTGATCTACCCAACTATCATCATACTCACCATCCATTTGGAATCTAGTTGAATTAGAGGTGTAATGACGACTGAATCACTGATCGTTAATTAGAATATTTATGAGAGGCAAATTCAGAAGACTTGTGAATACATGCACAGGTGTAATAACTGATTTGGAAAAAAAACGTGCTCTGTGGAAGGATGCGGGTTAGCTGCCTTGCAGTTATCTGAAACGATCGATTATTGCACAGATAGGCTGGAAAAGGATCCTCCCTTTTTATCTAACAGTGTGACAAAAACAGTTGGGAGGAGTTCCTGAATTAAATCAAAAGGGTATTAATCTATGCATGTTTCAGATGAAATGAATGCACAACTAAGATGTTTGTTTATTCTATTATGGGTTGTAAATTTGTTTATTTAACTGGCTAGGATCAATCACAATGCGTCTTTCATCAATACCCCGATGTGCAAAAACAGCCAAAAGTTGTGGTCTACACCAGTTAGAAGCTGACTGTCCTAAATTCTCAATGTTTAAGAATAGAACTGCACGTGGCTGGTGGCCGGTCACCGATGAAGAAGATGAAGAAATTATTGTACAGGTAGGTGATAAAGTTTGTTTTTTTAATTCATACTTTGACTGTAAGAACCACTGGATTCTTACTATATGCTCGAATGCTTAAGATCTGAAGATTTGTTGCTTATTACAGATGTAAATAAATCTGTTTTTCACAGCTGATATTTATCTTTGTTGGTAGTCAGGCTGAAGGTGACTGGCCCCTTCCCATAAGTGAACTGGTTATTTGGGCTGATGTTTTGATATCACCTACGATTACGCCTTAATACTAGGTCCCATTATCAGTAGAGACGTTAACACATCTTGAGATGTAGATACAAATCGTTGGTGAAATATACACCATAGATTCGGCCGTCAGCATTACCAAAGGAATACGCCTTATGAAACAAATTACCTTGGCATAACTGAAAGCCTAATTAATAACCCTGACTTATGAATTAAACAGAGTAGATTAAGAAGAAGGTATGACATTACTGATTGGTTTCTAAAGCGTAATTAGCGTCGTGTTTTATAGTCCTTGACGTTGTTCAAATTCCATCCATCTAAGCTATATTGTGGTTATCAAATAAGGAAACTCTGATTGAAGTTAGGCAGTTGGAAGCATTCGACAAGTTTCGTGCTTATTGCCACTTGTCAGCAATGGCATATCTACAACCTCAAGCACCTAATACTTCATATTAGAGATCTGAAACCGTTATCCCAATAAACCACCGGGGCTGGTGTGGACGGCATTAGTGTGCAGATACATTGTGGCTATAAATCCCGACAACCAAATGGACTTGGTCACAAACAGCTTGTTATCTATTACTTCCAATCACCCAAATGGTTACAGTATCATTCTGAAACGGCTTATTAACCACTTAGAAGGAGTTTAAATGGCCACAAATACTGAAACATTACAATTACTTATTCCCGGTAACGCAGTGGTTGCTAGTTCGAATCCTGTTGTGACCCATGTTTCCATTCTATTTTCAATCATCACAAAATATCAATAAAAACAGTCTAACAAATCATAACCATCTTAAGAAGTCTCATAAACAAAAACACTCAAACGTAAAAGTGGTATAGTGTATGCTACTGATAAGAGTACACATGAGTAGTATGTAGTGCGATGTCAGTGGAAAAAGTACTCAAGGTTGGCATTCAGTCAGTGAAGGTTCTGAGGACTAGACAAAAAGGTATCGAACAGAGCTACAAGGGGCAAGTGGGGGGGGGCGATAAAAAAGGAAAACAGTTTGCCTCAAAAGCAAAATGCGAATATTACCTGGACAAACTGCATTGAATACAAATTGTAGTATTTTGCTCATTATAGTTGACTAGAAAACAATCCATACTCCTCAGTCTCGTTTTCTACAGTCATAATTCATCCTTGTGTTTCATACTTTTTAAACAATATGCAGTTAGGTTGAGATTAATTCCTATCTCCTACTTAGTTTCCCTGGCTTCTGCATTCGAGTACATAACTTACAACTTACATTTAATTGAAGTATGTGAAGTGATTTGCGAAAATCTACTTCAACGTCTTTAACATGTGCATATTTCGTCTTCTATATTTATTATTATTTTATTTGTCCCTTGGGTTCCTAATGAAACATATGGCTTCAGTAGCACGTCTCCATTCCACTCTCTTCTCTCAAATCTTTCAAACCTGGCTCCACAACTGCCCAAAAACTCTCATTTACTCCTCGCACCATCTCACCCATATCACCCTTGCCTCGGACACCAAACTCGTCGTTTCCCATGGAGGTTCCACTCAACAACATAGCCTGGGGTGTGATGTCCACAGTCGGACTTCTCAGTGTATACCCAATCCATCTCCACTTCCTTCCAATGCATATTTGTTGAGTGATAGGTTGTTCTTGGTTGGTTCGTTCCCACAGCTCCTTGTTGCTTATTCTCATTATTCTGGCCATCTGAGCTTCAGTGTCAGTATCGAGCCAGAGTAGGCAGTTGTTGATGCATGTCTGCAGCTTGTTGGAAATCCCTTTCGTAACGCTCCAAGTCTCTGAAGCATACAGGAGCACTGACTTGACTGACGTTGGTGTTGAAAATCTGGATGTTGTTCCACATGCTGAGTGGAGTGCAGAATATCTCCATACTGGTTTCAGGTTAATGAACACCTGTCTTGCTTTTCCGATTCTGACTTTGACATCCTCATCTGTGCCACCGCCACCTGTAACTGAGACCGTGCTACCTAGATAGGTGAAGGAGGCTACGTCCTTTAAGACGTCGATACAATTCAGTTATTTCAGATGTTGAAGTTTCGTAGTTCTCAAAGCGGCATATAAGAGAAAATAATGAAGGTGCTTGCAGTTCTGGCTGACTACAGGTGATATATCCACGGTGAATCAGACATTTCGGTTCTTCTGCCTAAAAATCTGCATCATAGAGACTTGTTATGCTGGTTTAAAGACTTGAATAACGCTGTTTTTCAAGATAGGACTATACAGTTGTGGTTGATTACTGTCAGACATGGCAACTGTGAATAAAATTGTCATCTACCACTCTGAGCAATGTATATGATGTGGATTAGGCTCTTTTCAGAGACACTAATAAAAATTTATTCACTTTTTATTGTCTCAGGGATTTCAGACATCGGAATCGAACACAGGATTTTTAGATTTCACAGTGGACGCTTTGCCCATCCAGCCAATGGGTCGGATTTCAGCGGTTCACAGTTTCCAACTTTTGTCAATTCGCTATGTACCACGGCTACTACCCAAGGTCTTCAGCTAGTGTCCGCTTCCCTTCTGACTGACTGACCCCACAGGTCACGGTTTCTCACTAGAACTTCATGATATCCATCTGGAAGCATGTCGCTAACGAGCACTAAGAAGTAGTGTAGTTTGAGATGAATGCGGATTTTAAATTTGAGGTAGTATTCATCATGGACTGATATCAGTTGGAGAACCATAGAAAACCTGGGAGCACTGGACTGCTGTTTCGTCCTAGTATAGGCATATTCAGCAGTACGCACCCACGACCCGTCTAAGGATCTAACTCAAGACCAGTGTTTCCAGATTTTCAATAGTTCTCCAAGCGATATCAGTCTACGATGAATACTACCTCAAAATTAATGTCCCCGTTAACCTCAAAATACACTGAATTCGATTTGTTTGTAAGTACTTGCCAAACATCTCCAATAATCAACTTGAGGTTTATTAGAACTCAACAATAAAGTTTGTCTGTAGGTCCGATGAAATTCATTTTTTGTACTACACCACATTTCAGTAAAGCTAAACTTCAGACTTCAAAGAATTTAACAGGGAATAAATAAATGTGAAAGAATTACCTAAACTGCCACCAGCAGATGGGTTCATGGAACAAATCTGTCATTCAATCAAGTTCCTAATTTAAAATAATCCTGTGTGTATAAATGCAACCAATAAAATTCACTTCTATCGGTATTTGTAGAACTTAGGCAGTATAATTTCATATTTTATTTCGTTATTTGATACAGACTACAGTGATACCGTTTTATTTTCTTTTTTGACTATCTGAGATAGCCGTGGTTCGGCAGACTACTGCTGACACTGGGTGACGATTGAAAGTGAAATCAAAATTCAGACCGCTGCCGCGATCGCGAACCAGGTACCACCAGGTTATTGGCCGGATGCTCTGTCAACTGAGCTACGACGTCCGACTGCCTATCATATTTTTATTTCAGTTCAATCACCATGGCCATTTCAGATGGTCAAAAATGACAATCACTACGATGCTATCCCTCTCTAATTCAGTTACATTTGGATTCGGATGAGAAGTCCTGACTAGGCAGCCAGTGTGAATACCATCAAGTGGTAGTAACGCGTCTCAAAGTCACATGGTAGTTAGGCAAAAACCCTTAATAACTGGAGTAAAAAAATCAGCACTCAGGCCTCGTAGTTCATTTGGTAGGGCATCGAGCCGGAAACCGATGGTCACCGGTTTGAATCCGGCCACGGTCCAAATTTCCATTTCACCTTCAGTCATCACCCAGTAATAGTATTATCTACTTGATGACGTTTATAGCGTAGTGTAATCACACAGCTTTTATAATCCTGTCATCTCATATGATTTGTTTGGTAGTAGTAAAATTTTCCATATCTCCACTGGCATGGGCGTTGCTTCATTCCCCCCCTCTCTCTCTCCCTCCCTCCCCCACCCTCTCTCTCAAACTAATCACATTGAACTTGACAACAGAGACTCTATCTCACACAATTGTGTGGTTGTATGTTAATGCATACATGCATGCATGTATGCATTGTAACAATCGAGTTCTTTTCAGACTGTTGATCTTATTCAGGTCTGTCATTCTATATTTAGCTAAATTCCTATGTCACGCTATTCTAACTAACCGTGATCAGTTAGTTTGACCTATGTACTTGACCTCACAGTCATTGCATGCAGTATGGAACATTAGATTATTTTGCTGGATTGCTTCTATCGCATCCGTAAGCCAGCCGACAAATCTTATCTCTGAATGAGTCTGTTGAGAATCCAATATACGGTTTCTGATGTATACAATAGAGGTTTTGAACTCCTCTCTACTCATGTTGTCCCTATTATTCCTACTCGTATTACTCAAATTATTTCGTTTCTTATGTATTCGTAGGAATTTGTTAATGAACTGCAGAGGAAAATTATTAACTATTACAACTTCTTTTATGTGCTTCAATTCCTTGTTTCATTCCTTACAGTGACTAGTAATTTTTCTAGCTCTATTATTTCGACATTTGAGTAAACCCACCTTAACTGAGATTGGATGATATGACCTGAAGTTTAGATACCTTTTAAAATAGGGTGGAGCAAAACCACTGTCGTATATAGTTAGGTAGAGAGAGAGATTGACTACTGAATCTTCGTTCTTTGAATCAACACCCAGCCCAACACATGTAATATGAATGATACAACACCTATGCCTGAAGAGATGCAAAATTTAATTACCAATAAAAGCACAGAATAAGAGGTAACATGGAGTGTAGGAATCAGATGCCAAAAGTAGTGTGATTACAGTGATATGATTATGAGCAAAAATTTACGCCGGAAGAGTCATCAAATAGATAATACTGTATCAGTGTGCTGTGTGTCAAATAAACAAATCTAATATGAATATACTTCTGTTCATATTTCTTTGTTCCATTCACATGATAATCGGGTGGAACATTGAATGATTGTAGTGGAAATGAAACACGGTTTGCAATATGTAAAAACAGGTCTTATGACAGTATCTCTCACTGAAATGGATGCTGGGTACATACATCAACCTGTAGAAGACACCATGTTCAATTGTTCCATGATTGGTGTAGCTTTGATCTCAAAAAACTCAGAGGCATGTAGACATCATCCTACTGAGTTTCATTATTGTAATTTCGCCTCTTGTTCTCTTTTTACAACTTTCTACTACTCATGGTTATTTTGTTCTCTGTCTTTCTTATTGTTGCATTCTATGCTGAAATGAGGTATGATACCATGGAACATTAATTAGTAATAATGCCGAGTCTCATGCTGATATCGACTGACTGACTGACTGTTGATAGACATCTGAGATAGCAAGTTAAAGGCTCTAGGTTTGAGTTCAAATTTTCTTTCGAGGACATTCATCATCATATCATTTCTAATTTGCACATTTTTGAATAAAGATACTTAAAACAACAAAAATAAAGATTCGTAAGTAAGAAATGTTTAGATTTAGATCGGAATGACAGGCTTTAGTTCCAAGTCTTAAAACTCAGCGTTTCACTAAGGGAGTTATTTTTAGCAAAGAAATACATCTATTGTCATCAAGAAAAGAAGAAAGAATTGAGCAAGAAAATCTTCTTCGAAACAGTCATTTTCTAGAGCTGTTGAATTGTGTTTATTATCACTTTCAACATCTGAGATAGGCCTGGCTAGGCAGAGTAATACTACTGATACTAGATGATGTTTGAAGATGAGATGAAAATTTAGGTTGTTGTGACAGGGTTCGAACCATCAACCCAGATTTTCATCTCCCTTTCAATCATCATCCGATGTCAGTTGAAACTATTTCTATCAGAAACATATAAGAGTTGATTATTGAATAAAATACAGTAGATTAGTGTAAAAGACTGGAAAAAAAGTGGAAGGGAGTTGCGAAATCATCTGTAAGATGATGGAATTAACGAGCAACGAAAGAAATCTGATAACATGGTGGGTTATATACAGAAGGTGAAGAAAGAAACAAGGGTGGTAATGATGGTGATGACATTAAACGGATTAATTATTATGGAACGGAAAAATGGAGGGAAGGGGTTGAACTCACTTCTTCTTCTGCACGCATACCTCAGCCTTGAATTGCTGAATTGCGAGTACTTCCGCCATAATTAAAATAGTTTGTAATAATCCCAGTCAAATCAGTATCCGCCAGAGGAATCTGCTGTTTTCAATCCTTGCATAAAGATAGACTGCTATAATGTGGAGTGATAATGACAGAATCTTCATAAGAAGCCATAAATCTCTGAAGCCTTTGACAACCAATCGTTTTACTCCGAAATTTCTGGAAAAAGCACGTGAACCCAAGTGAAGAGACAAAAAAATCAATAGGATATTCAAATGTAGAAACGCCTGGAAATAACCAACTCATTATGAATATATAAAAACTCTTGTATTCTGCAAATATTTTTGGACTTTGGAATGCACCTTCTGTTATCATTTCGCCTTTTCCTTTCATCGAGAAAACTGAGCTACCGTCAAAAGGTAGAATCTGAAGGTTATATATATATATATATATATATATATATATATATATATATATATGTATATATATATATATATATGTATATATATATATATATATATATATATATATATATATATATATATATATATATATATATATATATATATATATAGTCTCCAACTATTCATAGGATCAGGTTCTTCTCGTGAGTTTTTAAAAAAAGTCAAAATGATTTTTGAAGGAAATTTCACTTTTTTTTGTCTTTTTTTTAAAATTTATCTACTGATTGTTAATCTCAGGGTAAAGTGGAATGTCAGTTGGAAATGCTGAATAGCGCTGAGGCTGAGAGCAATCCTGCCGGTCTAGGTCGTGATGAACCGAATGGACTTCCGAAACCAGAGTATGCATTCAAAAATTTTTTTTCTTTGTATCTACTTATAAATGTATTTATCGCATATTATCCTGCCAATGTCAATCAGTTGAGTAGCTGAAATGTACTACAGAAGTACAGTAGGCAGCATAATAAACCTTAATTCAATGTTCAAAACTGTTTGGAAGAGTAGAATGACATGATAGTTGCTTGAGTGACTATCTGAACTGCATACTTAGACTTAACTGATTGCTTACCCATCAATCAGATGTGATAGGGAGTGAACTAATAGCCAAATAGTCTTTAACTAAGGATATATGACTAATGCACAACAAAGCACAAACGATTGCTGGATAAGATCAGTCTCATAAGACATGAGATGAGATGGCTCATTACAATAAAAAATCAACTTGGATTACAACACCTTTCCTTAACAAAAGGATGCAAAAATAATGCAGGAGGTAAGCCAGTGTTAGATTCATGAAAATGTAGGTTGTAGTTAGAACATCCACTTTTCTTCTGTGAGTTTATACTCACTCATTTTACCCACAATCTTCAACCGAATGAAATATTATATTCTGACAATAGAAGCACTAGAATATTCATATCATGATACGAAACGCTAAGAAATAAACGATACTGTTTCACTGTGTGACAATTCCAAATATTATTATTTATCCCTATAGTCCCTAGACGAACATGGAGCTTCAGTAACACGTCAACATTTCTCTCTCTTCTCTGCAGTCTTCTCAACATGACTCACATCATCTCCTCCATGTCACCCTCAGCTGAGACGCCCAACTCATCATTTCGATTCGGGTTCCACCCAGCCGCCTAGACTGACCTCGTATGTGATATCCCCAATCGGCCTACTTAGTGTATGTCCTATCCAATACACCTCCACTCCCATATGCATATGACACCAGCCTTCGGAAAGTCAACTGGCCAATTGGCCGATGTGTCTTTCTTCTCTGGATGAAAACAAAAGTAAAAATGGGGACATGGAATGTCCGAACAATGTTTGAAGCTGGCTGGCTGGCAAGGCTGTCCAGATTACAAAGGAAATGAGAAGGCATGGCATAGAAGTGCTAGGAATCTGCAGATGGAATGGAAGTGCACTCTCTCAACTGCCAACTGCACAGTCAGTAATCTACTCCAATATTGTCACACAGGCGACACGACAACCACGAGCACAGCACACTGAGTTTTCCAGTGGCTATCATGATGTCCCCTTGAAGAGCATCGAAGGCCCTCTCTCCCTCTCTCTCTCTCCCTCTCCTCTCTCATTCAGTGGGAACCAATCTACTCCTGCACGATCACCATCATCACAGCAAGATGACTCAACTCAAAATGAAGGAATCAAGGTCACAATCATACAATGCCATGCTGCGCTGCGCTGCACTACGCTGCACCACGCTACGCTACGCTACACACCTACAAATAATGCAGATGAAGAGAAGAAGGCGGGATTCTACAGACAACTACAATCAGTAATGGACAAGAGCCCAACACAGTTGGTGATGGCGACATCAAAATCCATTCTATTGAATGTGGTGGGTGACATGAATGCCAGTGAAACTGGGAATGGATAAGACAGGAAGAGAAATGTGTATGGGTGGAGAAGCACTCTGTGAAATGAGGGGTGAGAATGGAGAATTGTTTGCAGACTTCTGCGCATTCAACAATTTGGTGATTGGAGTGAGGCAGTGTGTACAAACACGAGGATATTGACAAGGCAGTGACATGGATCTGATTTCACAAAACACTAGGACAAATCTCAACGTGAAGAAAGTGGAGATGAAGCCTACTAGAAACAAGATTAGATGAGAAGAGCAGCACATGAGGGTTAAAATCACTACTGTAAGCTACGCATCATCATAGAACAGAGCATAGAATGGCAGTCAACTCAACTCAACTCTACCTCAACTTCATCCACTTCGAAAAGGCCATCGAGAGCATCGAACGATAAGTAATTTGACAGGCAGCTACTTCAACACTACGGTTTCACTGCCAAAAGCCATTACCAACATCGTTCAACAGATATATAATGACGCCACATGTCAAGTGATTCACAGTGGAAAGCTCAGTAACGCCTTTGAAGTAAAGACAGGAGACAGGAGAGAGGAGTAAGACAAGGTCGCCACCTACTGTCACCCATGATCTTCTTCATTGTGGTCGACTGCACTGGACTGGACTGGACTGGACTGGATCATACAACAGACAATTGTGAGGAGCGAGAAGAGGGCCATACGCTGGCTGGACCGATGAAGACAACCTAGAAGAAGATTTGGTTATCACTCATCATGACTGTTGTCTAATGTCTTCTCACACTAACTCAAAGATCTATAGACAAAAACCAACAAGTTGACAGAACAGGCAAGGCTGTGAAGATGGGACTTCAAGTGAATGTAGAGAAGACACAGGTGATGAAGATACTCAACCAACAACAACACCACCACCACCACCACCACCAACAACAACAACAACAAGCACCAATCACCATGAACAGGAGAAACCTAAACCAAGTTGTCTGTTTCACTTACCTACCACAAATCTAGGCAGCATCGTTTCAACTGCAGATCACCACACACACACACACATGAGGATGTCTGTCGAAACCATGATCGGAAAGACAACAAGACAGGTCTTCATTAATCTGAAACAATCAGTGTAGAGACCTACTGCACTCGACTGCATTGCACTCAGTATGAAGCGTGAACAACATCCGGATTTTCAACACTAATTCAGTCGAATCAGTCAGTCAGTCAGTCAGTCAGTCAGTCAGTCAGTCAGTCAGTCAGTCAGTCAGTCAGTCAGTGCTTCTATGTGATGGTTGAGAGACTTGGTGAGTCACGAAAAGCATTTCCAACAAACAAATGAAGACATACATCAATCACATCAACAGCTGCCACCTACGCTCACCCGATACTGAATATCGATGAGATGGCCAGTATAATAATAAGAATAAGTAAGGAGGAACTCTGGTTGGCTGACTGGCTAGCTGTCAACGAACCAACCAACAACCCATCGTCAACGAATATGCATATGGTAGTGGAGATGTATTGGATTGGACATGCATTGAGAAGACCGATTAGGGACATCACATACCAGGTGAGTTTAGGTGGTCGTTTGGAATTGGAATGGGAAATGACGATTTGGGCGTCTCAACTGTGTGGTGTCATGGAGGAGATGGTGTGAGGAAGAAATGAAAGCTTGTGGGTAGTTGTGGAGTCCTGTTGAGAAGAGTGTAGAGAAGAGAGTGAAATGTTGACGTGTTATTGAAGCTCTATGTTTTACTGGGAACCCAAAGGACAAATAATAATAAATTTTTAAAAATTGATGATCACCACTGATTTACGACTAAATGGCCTAATATCTCTGAGTCCACAGCGATACTTAACAATGTTGGTTTCATCCAACCATGTATACTATCATAATTCACACTACTCAGGATCAAGTTTTTTCACTAGCGTTAACGACGAACACACAAACAAACAACCTCCTGTTTAAAGATACTTGTAATTTCATGTTGCTGTACTTGGCTGAATTGCTCTAGCTCTATGGTTTTCGTGTCGCAATTACCTTGTGCAAAATGCCCTGGAGCTTAAACGATGCGCACTGCGTTCGAGCCTGGGGGGGGAAATTCTGCTGACGAGTCCGGAATAAGACGAAGCTTATAACATGGGTTCTACCACTAGCCATCATATAGGCTATAAAACAAACAATCTACTTAAAAAATACCAGAGAATCTATCTACGTAAATGAATGACTTCATCAAGCCTCGACTGGTTGTTTCTGAATTCTGGTGAATAACAGATTTCACACCACTGGCACATATTATTTCAGTTGAAATTAATAAGTAATATGAATTGTACTAGGCGTAAACGTTGTTACTACAACCTACGCAAGTAATGTATAATTCATATTCAAACTGTTTACAGTAACATTCATATTACCTAATGTATAAAGAAAAATCAATAAAATGATCAATAAACATATGAATAATGGTAACAGAATAATGTGGTTCCATTAAAAATTCGATATATGTGCATTCTAGACTTAGAGTTATGTTAACAATAAATGTCATTTTTCAATTGAGGTATGCATTAGCATCTGTTTGTCAATCTATCTATCGATGCTAGTAAACAAGAATAATGGAAAGTATTTCAATCAAGACATGTGAGGCAATAAATCAGATGACTAACGACTATAGAAAATCATTTCTTACTACATATAACAATATGATTATGATATGGCTTATTGATTGGCTGATTGCTATTTGTCCCTTGAGTTCCTAGTAAAACATAGAGCTTCAATAACACGTCAACATTTCACTCTCTTCTCTACACTCTTCTCAACAGGACTCCACAACTACCCACAAGCTTTCATTTCTTCCTCACACCATCTCCTCCATGACACCACACAGTTGAGACGCCCAAATCGTCATTTCCCATTCCAATTCCAAACGACCACCTAAACTCACCTGGTATGTGATGTCCCTAATCGGTCTTCTCAATGCATGTCCAATCCAATACATCTCCACTACCATATGCATATTCGTTGACGATGGGTTGTTGGTTGGTTCGTTGACAGCTAGCCAGTCAGCCAACCAGAGTTCCTCCTTACTTATTCTTATTATTATACTGGCCATCTCATCGATATTCAGTATCGGGTGAGCGTAGGTGGCAGCTGTTGATGTGATTGATGTATGTCTTCATTTGTTTGTTGGAAATGCTTTTCGTGACTCACCAAGTCTCTCAACCATCACATAGAAGCACTGACTGACTGACTGACTGACTGACTGACTGACTGACTGACTGACTGACTGACTGACTGACTGATTCGACTGAATTAGTGTTGAAAATCCGGATGTTGTTCACGCTTTATGCTGAGTGAAGTGGAGTGCAGTGCAGTGCAGTGCAATGCAATGCAATGCAGTCGAGTGCAGTAGGTCTCTACACTGATTGTTTCAGATTAATGAAGACCTGTCTTGTTGTCTTTCCGATCATGGTTTCGACAGACATCCTCATGTGTGTGTGTGTGTGTGTGTGTGCCGTGATCTGCAGTTGAAACGATGCTGTCTAGATTTGTGGTAGGTAAGTGAAACAGACAACTTGGTTTAGGTTTCTCCCGTTCATGGTGATTGGTGCTTGTTGTTGTTGTTGGTGGTGGTGGTAGTGGTGTTGGTTGAGTATCTTCATCACCTGTGTCTTCTCTACATTCACTTGAAGTCCCATCTTCACAGCCTTGCCTGTTCTGTCAACTTGTTGGTTTTTGTCTATAGATCCTTGAGTTAGTGCGAGAAGATATTAGACAAGAATCTTCACCGGTGAAATCAAAATCTTCTAGGTTCTTGTGAAACTTCTTTCGCGGTGGGATTAATTTCCCTGTTTAAGGTTGTTAGCCCAATGCCCAACCTTCCCGGCTGATAAATTAGGCGAGGTTCATCATTAATTACCAAGACTGACATATATTTTCTGGCTTGACTTTAGTATTAAATATTATTGGTCGACATTTATCTTCATAATGAGCTTGATTATTCATAAGACAAATAGTTTTAAAATATTCTTTTTACATAAATTTATTGGTAGACAGTTGGTTGCTTCATTAACCAATGATATCCATTTTGAGGAATAAGGGTTCTACTAAAATATAATGACAACCATTCAGGTAGGCGTTTATACAGAAAGTTATGGGATAAAGGTAACTGGCACTACACCAGTGATTTGTAGAAGATAAGTTGTCATTTATCGACTTCAAAAGTGGTTTATCTAACTAACTTGGTGAATACTAATTTATCGTATCACCTCTCTTTCTGTATGAACTTTGCTTAACATTATCATTTTGATTATTAAGTTGATGGAGGTTATTTAAAGTTTGCCCTGAAATGATGGAGAATATTTTTAGCTCAGGTGGATGGATGGTCTTGGTTGTATTGTGTTCTGTGAGCTGGGTTGTTTAATCGTGAAGCTTTCATCGTCTTTCTAGACAACATCATCAGCACTAACTTCAGTATGAAGTGAGCTATCCTTATCTCTCAATGAATGATTTCATAGCCTACCCTGACGAACTGGTTCGTGATTGGTTGTTTCCTTCGATTGTTGTGTCATTGATGGTATAGACTTTTCTGTTGACTATTCCTCTACTTGACCTCTGACATTTCGGTCGTTTATCATTTTCCTTATTGGTTGATAGATTGGGTCTATGTCTATACATCTACTGATTGCTGACTGACCTGAATGTCAAGCTTCTAGGAATTCTCTGATATTTTTTGTATTTCCTTTGTCCAATATTTTCGAAATCGAATTGATGTCCATAGTTGTTAGCCACATGAGAGATGAAATGTTGTGACGTTTAATAGCCAACTGATCCAACGTAGTGTTGACCACAGTTACTGCAGTTGATTCTGTAAATGATATTTTGTTTGTCTTTTCTGGTTGTTGCATCCTTTGGTCTGCATAATAGTGTTTGGAGGAAATTTGTTGGTTTATGAACCACAACAATTCCACGAAGTGGTCTCAGTAATCTTGTCGTGATTTCTGATATATTCTTTATGGTATGGTAAGGTATGTATACATTTGTTGATTCCAGTTGGTGATTTTGTAGCTGATGATGCACGGGATAGGCACCTTGTAATAAAGTTTTGCACATAGCCGTTTTTCTTTAGGATGGACCCAGTAATTTTCTACATAAAGTCGCTCTTCTGAATACAGTTTGCATGCAACCAATTTTGTGCGTTGCTGATGCTGTAGTTGAGGATTTGATCAGTGTGTGTTGGCTTCCTGTACACTTGGGTTTTCAGTTTTCCGGTATTTGTCCTATTGACTAAAACATCCATGAATGGTAGTTGGTTGTTTGACTCCTTGTCTATTTTGAATTTGATGTCACTGAAAACGTTATAGATCAAACTGAAAGTGTTTTCTACATCATTTTTTAATGATGACAAAAGTATCATCTACATAGTGCTGATGATGTCGTCTAGAAAGACGATGAAAGCTTCACGATTAAACAACTCAGCTCAGAGAACACAATACAACCAAAAGTTTGCTTTATACGAAGGTCGATAAACAGTTAGTATATAAGTCATTGGATACTTCCTGATCTCTTTGGTTTATGCTCCAATGAGGTTTCATTGAAGGTGAATGTAGCTCCATATCAGATTTGTTTATTTGATATAACATACAGCGAAGCAGTTGCATTTACTGGATGACTTTTCGCACACAACTTCCTTATCATATTCATACCAAAGTAATTACCACTCAAGACTTCTGGTATTTATCAGCTTTCTCTAGCTCAATTACCTGGTATTCTTTGTTTTTAGTGGTAGTGAAAGAAGCAAAAGATAGGAATGTTTATCTTGAACAAGTGGGACAGTAGTCGTTAAATATGGTGCACTAAAACTGTCATTTGCAAAATATGTTTCATTTCCTCTTCTGCTTCTCTCTTGATTTGCTCTTCATACGCCTGCCTTGTCTTTTGTACTTCTATTGGCGGGATTCTTACTCATTGCTGGTAATTCCCTATGATTTTTGCCACCCTCTCAACATATACTACTTACATCCACTCTTATCAACAACGCCTACTACAGTAGTACAAAGTGTTCCACAACTCTGGAATAGGTATTGTATCTCATTTTGTAATCAACCTCTCTTTCGCTTTCCATATGACTATCGTGGTCTTTGGTAGGGTTACTTTATCTCACTTTATTGTATGATTGCGTATGCATTGCAATGGTTGAAAATTATTCCAGATTATTGATTTTAGAGAGGTTTATCATTCTAATTTTATCTGAGTTTCTATACTCTGATAACCTATTTGACCCCGATGATTATGGAGTCCAATATATCAAGCATATCCTGCTAGAAAGTATGACAACTCAATTCACGTTTAAAATAAAAGTTAGGTTGTATTTTTGCTAAAGCATAGCTTTAGGGAAAGTCATTTTTCGTGATAATATATGATTGAATATAGCTGGTACTCATTGGAAGAATGCACCTTCAGCTTCAAAAAAATGCAGGCTACTTTTGAAAACATGAACTTATTCAATGATTCTCAACTGACAACCCTCAATAAAAGTGGTGTTAACGCTTTCTACTTCGGTCATTTCAAAGTGCGGATGGAATCCTCCTGTTCGCTAGCACATTGACATATCACACTAGCTTACAGGTAGAAAATAACAACTGATCTGCTTTACTTACTGGACTGTCTAATCTAACTTCGAAATTTCCCTTTCATCACTAGTACTTTGCCATCTAATTCACCCTTGAAAGGCATTCGGCTGGTTGGGTTGAATATTATCAACAGACATTTTTGTTAAGAGTATTTGAGGTAGAATTTTACTATTGATGCCAGGTGACGATTGAGGGTGAAATGAAGACCTGGGTGACGGCAAAATTCTAGGCAGCAACCGGTTCGGAGATTTATAACACTCTGCCTGTCATTCAGCCCGATTTGGAATCCAATGAGAAGTTCCAACTGTACAGATAGTGCAATTACGATGAACGGATAGTTACACACCGCACCAACACATGACAGTTCAGCAAACCCGTCAGTGATAGAAGTTAACTTATGATGAGGTCAACAGCTGGGTCAGGAGAGTATGAACCTAGTGACCTGGAGGCCGTTGGTTCAAATCCTGCTACGACTCAGGGTTCAATTTCACTTTAAACCATCCCTACGTATCACATGAATCAGGATTACCAGTTGATCTAATATTCACTTTCCGATCACTCCACTGGATTGGCATCCAATGGTTAATATTTTCCAACTGCCATCAACTAGCATCTGAGCCCAACAGCCCTTCACTGGGTCATCGATGGGCGTCCGTTACCACGCCTACGAAACACGTTTCACCGATTACTTCATCAAATCTCTGTCGACGCTGTTTTCTACTCCACTGTTCTAAATAAACGGCTCTCTAGGTGGTACCAGTACATGGTGAAAACTGCCGCGATATTGGTCGGTTCCCCTATAAAAACGTCCAACTAAAATAGGTCAATTCTTGTGAACCAAATTTCTTTCTCATAAAAATGTTTGCCTCTTTCTTCTACTTTTCAGCCGCCCGGACAGTTCATTTATGAAATTCCTCGGACCGCTGAATACTCTTCGTTATTTGATCAAATATCGCTTAAAATGGGTATTGATAAAAATTTTGGTTATCTTCCTTATCTGTTTAATTATCTTCTTATTCCTCTACAGCTTCCCTGGTGCTATTGTTCAAAAAATGGTGAACTCTTAGCCATTGTCAAAACATTAACAATAACAAAATTATTTCTACTACCCTCCATTTTTATTACCGTTTATCACTTAGGTATTATTTGCTGGTTTATTAGCATTGACGTATAGGTCACATTTGTCATAAAGCATACTATTGATTTTTATCAGAGAAATATTCAAACGCATGGTTATTCTCTCATTTCTATAAATAACCAAGTATATTATCGATTTTTATGCAGATCACATGACATGGCTTGAAAGTGAAGGCCTATTGGCTGCAGGCCATTTTTAATGAATATAAATCTTGATTTAAAATGAAACCATTTTTTAAATACAAATATTTTCTAACATTTTGTTGAAAACTTTTTGAACAAAATCAAGTGGAAGAAAGAAAAATGTCTCTAGAGGCTTGAATGCTTAGTACTGATTTCGCTAACTCCAATCACTAGAAATCTAGACAGATGCTGAAGTCCCGTTTCATTAAAAAAGGGAAATAATGAACTCAACTATTGAGCGCTCTGATACAGATAATGTTTATAGAGAAACTCATGTATTTCTTGTTGTTTTTAGGTGTTTTCTGATGGTATTTTGGATGACTGCCAATGAAGGATATATACATGTGATAGTGAGGGAGTAACAACAGAAGTACAATAAGGTGTTGAATATTAAAAGGTTCAGGCATCGTACTAACACTACTAAAATGAATAATAATAGCAGGAGGAGGGTCGTTGTCACCAAGGTTGCATGAAACAAAGGAGAAATGTGGAGGTAAGGGAAGTAGTACACTTAGCCTAGTCTACTCAACTCAAAAGAATAAGAAACGCATAAACATGATTACTTTAGACGTAAATTTCAGGCTTTGTCAAGCTTATTTCTTTTACTTTGCTTGGTGGTGGCCAGCAATAGAATCCAGGACATGCATTTCGTCCTATTTGGGACTTATCGGCTGGACGTACATCCACTTTAGTGAGCGATGTTGTTCCCACTGAAACTCAAAACAGCACCCACCGCTTCAAACGTCACAGCCAATGAGGCATGAGTACTAGTTGTTATTTGTTGATCCTTGTAATTTCCCGTTTTTATACTGAGTCGAAATGATTGACCTGTATTGCAATATCGGCTTCTATATTACCTGAATATTGGTGTCCATCAAGGATGCCCACTATCTCCATTCTTATTTAATTTTATCATAGATATTCTTATGGAGGTTTCCCTCTCGTCACCTAATTACACAGACGTTGACCCAATCACAGGTGGATTTTCTTTAGATCTAGAATATGTAGATGACATAGTACTGTTAGGTGAAGACACTGACAAGATGCAGAGTCTTCTGAACATTTTGAGTGGGAATTTGAGAATGTTTGGATGCGATTTTCTCCACCCAAATGCAAATTGCTGCTCCAGGATTGGTCTTCAACGGTACCACGGCTAACAATAGAGAGTGAAGTGGCTGAGTGTGTTGACCACTTCACTTACCTGGGAAGTAGGATCAACCCTGGTGGGTTAGTTGCCGATGAGATCTCTGCACGGATACAAAAGGCTCGATTGGCTTTTGCCAATTTGCGCCACCTATGGCGCCGCCGTGATATCCGATTGTCTATTGAGGGTCGCGTGTACTGCACAGCACTCCGCTCTATTCTACTGTATGGCTGTGAAACATGGCCATTGAAAGTGGAGGATACAAGAAGGCTTCAGGTGTTTGACCACAGTTGCCTCCGTAGTATAGGACGTATTCCGTGGTGTCATCACGTGAGTAATGCAGAAGTTAGGTGTAGAGTTTTGGGGAGAAGAGGTAAGTCAGTCGATGAGGTTGTGAACGTTCATCGACTGGGATGGTTGGGACACGTGCTACGTATGCCTAGTTACCGATTGCCTCGTCACACAATGTTGGCTGAGGTGGGTCCAGGCTGGAAAAAGGCCCGAGGTGGCCAGACTAAAACATGGCACCAATGTAGGAAGTCTCTGACTGTTGGTTTAAGCCATGTAGGAAGATGCAGACTAGGTGGTTGGGGTCCACGGGACAAGAGGAACCGGTGGTTGGAGACCCTAGGTGATATGGCTCAGAACCGATGTCAGTGGCGCAGATGTATATACACATTATCCTCATCTTAACAACGCTATACCGAATCTCACCATTTGTCACTCCTCTTTCCTTTCTCTCGTACTTTATATTTCTTTTGACTGCATTCACTTATCTTCATCCTTCGCCTCACTACCTTTTTACTTGATGTGCTGATATGAGGTGTGGCAAGTTGGACCGTTACGCAGTAATGCCTGGTCCTATGTTGATAATGATGAATATTGGTTGTTATAATTTCTTTGAATTAAATATATAAAAAGACTGAGTAACTGGAACTTCATGTGAATATTCTTGGAATGCAATGTACTAAGGGTAAAGCCCCCATCAATATCTACTTCGTGCTATGTATTCACTGAGACAGTCCAAATGTAATTAATGTTTGATTTTATTTCACGCTCCCTATACCATATGTGAAACTGATTCACCTAAGCGTGTTCTTTATGCATCTTTTTCTGTAAGATCAACTTTAATTCTGAGACAGAACTACTAATAAACAAGTAGATATATCCTGAGTGAAATATGCCTGTTTTATTGGTGTACACCAAGAAGACTGTATGTGAAAGGATTGTTTACACAATGGGGAAAACGTTTCAGTACAGAACTGAAGAGGTGCAGATCATATAATTCAATGTAGAGTTTTCTGTTAATACTCTTTTTCATGAAATTATGCAAAATCTCTTATCAGCTGAACTTCAAGTAAGGGTAAATAGTAACTTCTTTCACCTTCATAGCTGAGCTTATCACATAAACAGTTCACAGTATCAATAAGACTGAATTCACTACGCAATGCTGTCCATACTCTTGACTTCCTGTTTGTTATCATTCATGGATAAGGCATATCTGAAATTTCTGGATAATTCATTTATTCAGAACAAAATTCCAACTTATTTCATGCAACTCAGCAGTTGAAGTGTTCATCACTCAGCTATTCAACCCAAGAATAACTCCATGTGGCGTTGGATTACCTACATGGATAGTGAGTAATTCGGCGGATGAATCTACACTACTGAGATTAAGATCGATTGCTTAATTCTTAACAAATGATTCAACTTGACTTTACTTACTATTGATTGGGACGCTTTTATGATGGTAAAATCAAAGTGTATAGTGTAAAATATTGCCTTAAGTTGCAATCTGAAGATTTATAGGACCATTCTTTACCATCACCTTCTTAGTTTGCAACAATGACATCCTTCTAGGTTTTGCGGACACCTATATATTAGCAGAAACAATAGGATTAGGACATGAACACCATCCCTGACCTTAGTTTCAAGAGACAAGAAGAATAATTTTCTTTATTATCCACAATAGCTTTCAGTCCAGATTATGGGAGATTTTTTCTGCCTTACCTGACGCGGGATCTCATGCAATACAGTTTAATATCGAGGATTTCAGCTACCTCACTCGACAATGAATTGCTCACAATGGGAGGCGGAATATTGGAGGATGCCAAACAGTTGTTCTACTCATCATGAGTTATCAATCTCTATCTTTTCAAAAGTTCTTTGGCATTACTGTCTCTGCCTTTTTACGTATTATAAAAAAGGATCCAGGATAACCGACAATCACAACTTTGTCCTAACCGTTTGCCAGGAAACATTTTATTGCTTGAGGAAATTGGGAATATTAACAAACACATACATTAATCTTTGAAAGGCCTACTTATCTGAAAGATGTGCAACTATGATGATAAGTGAACAACATTCAGCAATACTCGTTGTATATGAGTGTACGGTGCAAAATAGGTGGGAGTACGACCTCCAACTAGGTAGTGGAATGTACAATCTGTAAACCACTCAGTTGCACACACGCTGAATCGAATTCCAAACCCAACAGATAAATATGGAACATTAGAACATGAGATTCCTCTGCAAAATTTCGTTAGCCGTCATTTATTCATGTCCCCCCCCCCTCCTTGGTTTTTGATGTATGCTGCTGTGGGGACTTGAACAAGTGCACTTCTATGCAGGTATCTAAGTTTCCTTGTTTTGTTACAAATGCCTCTATTTTATCGTAAACGATACAAATGTAAAGTCTTCTTGTTCATAAAAACATCTGTACCCCAATGAACACGTATTTAGAAAGCTATTACATACAAACTAACCAGTCTCAGAATTCAGTACACAGATTGTTATTCCGTCTTGCAGTATGTTAGCTTTGGATTATTTGACGAGACTTAACATGTAAAGATTCTCCCTACCCCAAATGGGTCCCTTCAGGATCGATTCACAGTTCACCTACATTAACTTGGCACTCATCGATAAGTAAGCTAATTAGCTTAGTACAAGAAGGTATGTTCTAGGTTGAGTTACACTCATTCAACTTTCGTCTCCAAGTTAGAATTGTATGTTTCACTTCATTTTTACTGCTCTTGTGTGTTTGGATCTCTTT